CAAGTTGCAGTCCTTGGCCGAGAGGTTTAGGGACAGACCAGGCGGATATACGAGACTACACCTCAATGGCAATCGCTTTGGCGACAATGCCCCGACAGCTCTTCTGGAATTTGTGGATGGCGCATCAGATGTCAGGCTAGAAGTGACGGCGAGGTCGTTAGCGCGCGAAGCGCTCGAGGCTTTCAAGCTTGTCGGGTCGAAGGGAAAGCCGACACTTGTCGCTCCAGGCTCTGAAGAGAGGCTTGTGGACGACGAGAGGTTTTCTGTTCTCACGCGTCAAAATGTGAGAAAGGTGACTCAATTCAACCCGAATGCGCTCAAGGAACTGGTAAAGAGCGCGTCCAACCACTTGGCCAGGCTAATAGCTACCGAGCAAGTAGAAGGTCATTACAGGGTGGACGAAGACAAGATAAAGGCGCTAGATAAAAATGGGCCTTTCGGTGAATCGGCCATCAAACCTATGCGTGGAATGAAAAGGAGAGCGGGCCAAAGAAGATTGGTGGAAGGGGATTGGGAACCACCAATCATGCGCGGAAAGGGAGGTAACAGTGTAGTCAGGTTGTCAAAGGGAAACTTTGCCAAGCGATTGATCCCGAGAACTACATTGCCAGAGGACCACGGCACAGAGAAGGCCTTGCGCGACGCTTTGCACAACAGACAAATCGCTAACGCAAGGATCAGCGACGAGGCTCAATGAATAGTTTTGACCGCTTTGATCCGGCACAGTTGCTCTACCGTGCCGAGGCTTCGGCGCAGATGTACTTTAAGTCCCTTCATCAATAGCATACCGCATTCAGATCTGCGGTCATGACACGATTGTGTGCAAGCTGAAGAGCAGGCGAGGACGGAATTTGTACTGCCATCTACATGCGCGGGCAACCTTGTGCGAGCAGGTCGCGAAGTGTGGGGATGGTGCGAGATCCTACGTCTTGAGCTCATTGATGGTAAACTCGACCACAAAAAAGACGGTGTCGTCGGATTTTTCTTTGCCTGCAGAGTCGGAAGTTGGGCTTGCATGTCAGACGCTCGACGCAGCTGGGTTTGACGGGCAAGTGTCTTCGCGGCTCAAGCGTCACTTACAGTAGAAGCGCACTGGCTGTCCATCCCAATACTTTTTCACTGATTGCGAATCGGGAGCAATCGGGCCTATCGGTCATCAGCTCGAACTTTTCTGCATTCCGACTGCAGTACTCACGATCGAAGCCCATCCCGTTCGTGTAGGGCAATTCCAAACGCAAGGCTATGCAAGATGCAATGTGGCAGTGAGCAAAGGCCCACACTAAAGAGGGCAAGGTGTTGATCTCTCTGGCTGCTGCTCACTGTTGAAATCGATGAAGCCATTGTCGAAGGTGGTGGTAGTGACGAGGTCTTTGCGACCAATCAAGACTCTCTCCCTGACGTGCTCTTTCCAAAATTGAGCTCTCCTCTGATGAGCATGTTCATTTCCACCTCTTCCTCCCTTGAGTGATCTGACGGTGGACAAATCGGCCACGCCGTCTTCTTCCAACTGGGCATCAATTTCGTCAGAACCTTCTTTGAGCAAGAGGACCGAAGTATCGTCGTGCACGTAGCTTTCATCACCCCCCTTGACCGCTCCTTGAGGAAAGGGAGGCCAACCTTCTGACTCGAAGGCATCTTCCGCCGTCTTGGCTTCCGCTGCTGCTGGAACGCGAGCTACGTTGACGCGCGTCATTGTCGCGATGAGAGGGCTGTTTGATGGGCAAGATGAGCAACAGATGAGCGCTCTGAAGCAAGGATTCCGTGTGCGGCACTCGTGATCTTGCTGAGCAATGTCTCACCTGAAAGCCCACGGTCTGTCAGCATAGATGTCGTGCTTCAGGTTCGGATCAATGTACCCAAGGGCATTCAGAGCGACCGATGTGCCCCATGGCAGAATGTCCTGAAAGCCCGGGGTCGCAATGAACAGCGCTTCGCTCAGTCTTGCTCTGCGCCTCCAGACAGCTGCTCCCACTCTCCACTCACCCGGATGGGCTTCTCGAACTTGTTGCGCAAGTGGCCATCAAACAGGTCAGAGGGGGGGCCAAGATCACTTCAAATGCGACGACTCGCACTCACTTGGTTGCCCCACACCAAGTCGTTTGCGTTCACGTCCTTCAAAAAGCGTCCTTCAAGGGATCATCAGAAGCTCTTAGCCACCTTTTTTCTCCCCCCCTCTGGCTCGACCAGCACGTCGAGTGATTGGCTTGCTCACCTTGCAATTGAATGCTCCAAGTATTTCCCTTGCCCACTCCCTCGTCGAAATACCCCGTATGAGCGATCCTCTCTTTTCCCAGCGGCACCTCTCCCGCAAAATCCTTGATCCTGACGACGATTCGACCTTGAAATTTGTCCGTCGAGATGAGCGCTGCTTCTTCGCTATTCACATTGTACACTTTCAAATCCTCCACGCTGCACCCGATCGAGATGCGCAGCGAAGGGGGGGCCATGTTCTGCGTATTGTTGGTGTCGACTCTAGCTCTGCGATCGTACAACTGGGGTGAATGAATGGTCGAGGCCGCGTCTATGTGGTGCTGAAAGTAGCGTCTGCTTTCAAGTCTCTTGCGGCACTTTTACAACCAAACATTCACCATGCACTTCGAGCGCTTTAACGTTGGCCGATGATTGCACCGAGAAGAGAGGGGTGAGATACAGTGGATGCGCGGATAGGGAAAGCGGATGACTCGTATTCACGTAGAGAGAAGTATGCAGCGAGAATGAGGTCACGGTAATCGATATTCGATGAAAAGTGGGACGATGGGTGACGACTGGACGAGCTTGGTGCAAGTGTGGATGAGGGAAAAGTGTCATGAAAAAGAAGACTTCTATGTGTCGTGACCCGGTCTCTGCAGGCGAAGGAGCCGAGTCACAAATGGCAGGAGCAGTCATCGGTGTTGAATATGAAGCTGTGCTTGGAGATGAGTGTAGCAAGTTGGAAGTGGAAAGAGAAACTCGAAGCGGCCAAGGCTTGCAGCAACCGTCATCGAGACGGTTTAGCAGCTGTCGGCTTTGCTTTAGATGAAGTAGCGTTCATTGAGATAGGTGATTTCGTGACACAAGTAGCCCCATGTGAGCCGTAGAGCAGTAGCCGGGATGCCGCTTGGACTGCCGGCTCCGAATGGCATGACAGCGGCCGTCTGAGGGTTGATGCCTTCGGGATTGTGGTGAATGCTTCCGGCACCTGCTGCAAGATCGACGTCCAGATCGAAAGCATCGCGCACCGCGGGATGGATTTCAGATTCGCCCCTCGCTGCCTGAGAATGCTCATCTTTGCCCCTCAGTGGCGAGTTTGCAGTGTCAAATTCGATCTTGGAGAGCGAATCAAGTAGGCGCGGATCAATGGGCTCTTCAGGCGAGTTGCCTTTGCTGCACGATAGAAGTGCGATCCTTTTCGCTTTCTGTCGGGCCAAGTAGGTCTCCCAGCCGCGCAGCTCCCAAAAGAACAAGAGGTGGGGCTGGATCAAGATATTGAGGCGCCTCGAGCGCACCAGCAAGTAGGACTCCACCAAAGTCAGATCCAGGTGTGCCATGACGTACGCCAAGACGATTGTAGAGCTGCGACTGACTCCAACGCGGCAGTGCACAAGGACTGCGCCTCCAGATCTCCTAGCACTTTCAATGTACTCGACTGCTTCGCGCATGGCTGATCGGAGCGGATCAATCCCATCATCCGAGACATTCTTGAGATCCAAGACCGAAATGCGACCAGCGCGCTCTTCGTGCCAAAGTGAATTTTGGTGCTCAGGTAAGGAAGGCATTGCCGCTCCCATAGATGTGCCACGATCGTCGACGGTTGCGTTCACCTCTGCCCACGGTGGACTCAGCGCCGTTTCGCCTACGGACACCACATGAGTGATACCGAGGGCGTGCAGCATGGAAGGGTTGAGGGCGTGGTTCAGATTGCCTAGGTAGAGAAAGGGGAGGATGCGAGAAGGAAAGGACCCCTCGAAGCGACTGTCGTAGAACCAGCGATGGTCGACCGAGGGTGCTGCAGCTGGCGTTCGCGAATTGTTCGAGAGACGAACGTGCTTCTCAGGGCTTCGTGGGGTGCTGGGAGACCGTGGTGTTGGCGTGCGGTTGCGTACTTCCGGGCAAGGAGATTGAGGGCTAAGAGAAGGAGTCGAGGGCGCTTTGCGAACGCTGGCTGCAGCATGAGAACTGGACACGAAGCCAGAGGCTGCAGCCAGTCCACGCGCCCAGACGCTCTGCTCTACGGCGCTTCCCGAGTGGCCGTCTTCTGCGCTTGCATTGGAGGAATCACGACGATTGCTGCTACCTCGACGTGAGCCATTCGCCGATCGCTTTGGCCCGCTTTCATCGTGAGCGAGTCCCCAACTGAATGCATGCCTGCCCTTTGGCGAACGAATGGACGGTGAGGTGGATCGACTCATCATCTCGCGATCGCGCTCCTCTCGTTGTCTGCGTATGGAGTCGCGTTGTGCAACGATGCGGTCTTCGATCAGCTTCAGGAAGGGCAGGTCGCGACCGTAGACGAAGAAGGAGCGTCCACAGCGCTGCTGCAGATCGAGGTAGGCGTCTGGCAGAGACAGCTCGCGCGCATACATGAGGTAAGAGAGTGCAAGAATGGACGTTTCGGTGTATCCATCTCCACAGTGGAGCAAAACGCGCCGAGGGAGCTGCTGCGTTGTCGACTGCATAAGAGAAGGATGAGCACCACTGGAGGTGCGCGAGCCGTGGCCACGGAGTGCGCCATGCACAAAAGTCGAGCCGTTTGGCACATGACTACTCGGCCACTGCTTGTCGTGAGGCTGAGCTTGCCTCTTGATCCAAGCGCACAAGTTCAAGATTCCCTCCACGGCGCATTCAAGGCCTCTGCCTTGGGCGCCAGACTCGAAGCTCGTCTTTGACGACGGTAGCTCCAGATGGATGACGTTATCCGGAGCTATGAACAGTTGCATGTTGCTGGGTGGAGTGGGCTGTGGACTTGACGACCTGTCGTGACCAAAACCGTCTTTGCTGCTTGGAGATAGCATGCGACGTCCACCACTTCTGCAAATGCGACTGATAGCACTCGGCGTCCAGCCAGAGGGACCAAGAGAGACTGAAGGTCGCTCGGCAGCAGGTGCGGGTGCTTCGAGCGCATCGTCCTCTTCGAGATCGCGGAGAGCTTGCTTGCTGTCGTGCTCGAACGCAGCGGTAGCTTCCATGCTGTCGAGAAGGTGCGATGCGTAGCTCAACTTTGACGGTTGTGGGATCTCTGCGCCATCATGCGCTTCGATGCACACTGCAAAGCCTAGGGGATTCGACTCCTGCGGTCTTGTTCCAGCATGGTCAATTCCGTCAAGCTGATACGGCCCTGCATTTTCGGGCTTGGGCAGGGGAACGTCGGCCGTGGAGCCCATCTGTGGCGTTGACCCGAGTTAATGTGAAGGTATGGTAAGCCTCATGAGCGAAAGAGTGCAGGACATACAGCAACTGTGGAGCTCACCCAAACGTGATCGTCAATTTCGCTTGCTGCTGTAAGCCGCTGCATCTCTTCGCGCTCGCGCTCACTGAACTCGACGTGATGCCGTCGAATCCCTCTACTGTCCACTGCCACCAGGTGTTGGTGAGAGCGCTCAAAGGCTAGGAAGGGGTCTGAGAGCGAAGACACGAAGCGTTATTAGGAGCGGCCTCTGAAGTACATTCGATGGCGACACTTACCAGTCACGACAAAGACGTTGTACTTCAAGCTACCGAGTCCGAGTATCATGCGTTCCTCGTACATTTGCTCCTGAGCGTCTCGTATCCACCTTGCTAATTGAAGTACACCGTCATGCAGGCCAGCCGGACAGTACACGGCGATGTCGGAGATGGTAGCGTATCTGGCGCACTGTATGCGGAAATTGCGGAGGCTAACACCTGGTGCTTGCTTTGGCTCGACGAAGCGAGCGAGGTCCTCGTACTGGTCTTCTGCGCGCGAATGAGACGGCGGCACAATCACCTGGCTCGGCAGGACTGAAGCATTCAGCCAACTGTGTATTGGTTGAGGCGAATACTCTTGCGAAGGACGCTGCTTGCCTGGACCAGCGGTGCTCGACTCCCACGGCGGTGAGGTGGAATCGCATTTGGCGTGCTGAGTGGCAGAAAGTGATTGACATGGTCCATCAGAGGGCGGCCAAGCAATGCTCGCGCTTGTCATTTCGGAGCCCTCGTCGCTTTCTGCAGCAGTTGAGAACAGCGAAGACATGTCCGAGGAGATCAGCGACGACGAAACTGACGTACTGGAGCCAGAGTGGCCGAGCTGGGTGCGACTTGCTGCAGAAGGCGCGTTACGATCCGAAATACCGTCGTCGCTGCTGTTGTTGCTACTTGAAGCGCTACCGCAGGGACTAGTCTCGTCGGGACTTTCGTGTCCGACACTCATCGTCAGCACGCCCATTGAGCCAGAGCGGGGACGGCCGGAAGCGCGACGCAGTGCCAATCCAGAAGCAGAAGAAGACGCGCGCCTGCGCTGCATCGCTTTGGCCTCTTCCGGTGTAGGCATGTCAGCTCGAATGATAGTCAAACCACGGTAGTTTGGAGTCGGTTGACCACTGGGAGGTGCGCCAAAGAATGCGTTTTGCGCAGCGTTGTTGCCGTCAACACCGTGCAGGAAGGGAAAGACGACGTGATGAGGCACGTCGAGGTGGACGTAAGCATCGTGAAGGGATGCGAGCTGTGAAGCGCTCAGTGCGCGAATGGAGGTGCGATCAGCGCTTCCACGACCCGTGTGGTCAGGACGAGCAGAAGGCCCCGAGATTGAGGAGCCCTCGTTGCGCTCTTGTTCCAGACAAAGCTCGTCTAGCACTGGATATAAACTGAGATCCCGATGCTGAAGGCCCCATTCGTGCGCTTCATCGACGGTCGGAAGAGCGAGAGGCTCAGCGGATGTAGATGAAGGCTGAGCATCATCGGTGATTGAGTGGTCTGGCGGTCGATTCCCATCGACGGCGCTAGGGACACCCAGTTGGAGCGAGACGACGGTCGCTGACTGCTCTCCGCCACGAGAAGCCACAGGGTGTAGAGACACTGCTGCCATGGTGTTGAGCGACGTGTGACTGGAGGACAAGATCTCGAGGTTGAGATGGTGGAGCAGCGTTGTAAGCCGCTGAAGAGGTGGTGATTATGAGCGGCACTTGATGCAATCGTGGGACACTCTGAGCGCGATTGGTGTCAAGATGGTTGGAACCACGATGATGAAGGTTGCTTGTCTGGAGCGCAGCATACGAACCAGAAGACTGCCATGTGCTAATGAGGCGCGAGGTGCCAGGCAAAGAGTTGGGCGCAAGGTAAGCTGGGCGCCCGCGGGGTGTTTGACCTCACCCTTGCCCTCGTTGCGCGCGAGCTATACGGTTGGCCAACCTTGAAGTGACTATATGAGACGAGTTTGCCGGCCGGCGATGGTGACACACTGACGATGCGCAGGCTCTAGCTGCGGTCTAGCAAGACCAATTAAGCAGCAGGTCAAGTCAAATGAGCAGTCGCGTGTGCGGGGATATCGCAGTCGGGCGATGCAGGCCTCAGCGTGCAGATATAGACGCACTGACCTCCTCGACTAACTCCTATATGGACACACGGGGAGATGCCGACCCCAACGTGGGGGAGGTGTAGCTAGCTAGCGCTGCGACCCTGACCGAGCTGCTACTTGAGCAGTCGCTGCTGAGAATGTGCTCTCGCACAGCTCAAAGTGATCGATGAGATGCCTTCCCAGCGGAACTGATCCTGACAGCAACACAGTTGATCGCTGATCCGATGGCGCAATGTCGCCAGTGACTGAGTGCGGTTGCTGCTGGCGTTGGCTGCTTATAGCTGTTTTGGCGGTCTTCGACCAATCAGGCAGGCATGCACCACAGAATTGTGACTCTCGCGGTGCGTGACCCAGTAGTATATCTGCTGCCTAGTAGCGAGGTGTGGTGCTACACTGGCGCGTGTTTTCGCAAAGTCCCGACTCGCCGCGGTCGCGCGTTTGTTTCGGAAGCCGAACAGATTCACGAATGAGATGAGGCGCCCTTTATTGCCTCCTGCTGGGAGCTAGGCGAGGCGGTACGCAGGAAGCGGACCGAGACTATAGTCTGTGCGATGGACGTTATAGAATACAGAAAAGGACTTGCGCAGGCCGATAATTGGAGGGTTGGTCGTGATTGTCTGCGCAACGTCGTGAAGATGAGGCCTGATGATGATTTGTGGACTGATGGAGGATGTGGAGAGAATCTGCTCGCGATCGATACAAGTGACCAACACGAACCAGAGGAGCTCTCTTGACTATTCTAGTCTACAAGGGAATCCAAAAGGGCTGTGAGAAGGACATGGACGTTCGCCATACATCGACTCGTGACTGTACGTTACCAGCCGAGGTTGGGTACGGCACCCGTCCCGTCCCATTGAGGCGGGGAGTCGAGGGTTGTACACCTCGACAATCCGTCTTGCTCTGTATCTGGCTGTGTGCACAGCAGCGCCGGCGTCTCTAATCAGAACCGAGACGCACAATCGCGCTCGCTCACCTCGCTGTTGCATGGTGCCTCACAGCATGCACGGGCTAAATCCTGCGCGCACTTCACGCAGAAGGAGCAGTCAAAGCAGCAGTATAGTCAAATAAGTTGCCTGGCGCCAGGCGGTACATGGTGCTTCTCCTCCTTTGCGGCAGCACGTACTGTACAGTGCCACCGCATCCACCTTTTGGCGCGAATCTTGACTTGGTGACTGCTCCTGCGCCCAAGCAGAAGATAACAGCGTCGCATGCCGAGAGGAACGCGCAGGATGCACTGCAGCTCCTGCGCGCCTTTATTCCCAGCGTGTGCAGCACAGGTGCAGTAGCGCAAAAGACCAAAAAAGAGCTGCTGCAGTGCTGCTGCTGCTTGCGGCTGCCCGGCCAAAAGGTCCGGCGAAACGCGGCAGCAGAGTAAAAGCGAGGAGCTGATGGAATTCACTTGTCCATTCATGTGGCTTGCGCTAAAAAGGTGCAATCGATTGGCTCGCGTGCGGCGGGGCGGGTCACACCCTGGGAAGGCAAAAGTGGGGTCCCTTCGTCGGCACACCGCTGCTGCTGCTGCTGCTGCTGCTCAATGGGCGTGAGCAGTGACCCGCTGCTATCATGACGCAGTCACCTCATTCGTAATTGCTGGTGATTTGAATCGTGAATGTACCCTCTTTTCAAGAGCTCATCACGCCGATTCAATCGCACCTGATCATTCACTTACAAACGTGAGTTAGGCACCGCCCCAAACCCATGCAGTTCCGACTCGCGACTCACCACCGATGTCGGCTGCCGTACAAGCCGGCGTGCCAACCGCGATATTTGTGGTCAAATTGGATTCTTAGGGTCCCGAACGAGTTCAGCTAGACCAGGACACGAGCCGGGAGACTATCAGGAGCTTTTGACGGAAGCAATTCGTGCTGCGTGCGCCCTTATTGTCGCGATGCTCCACATGCGCGGAGGTCAGCCTGACCGGGCTATATCAACGGGGTGGTGTGGCGCGGGCGCTACACCTCAGGTCCTCCCTCCCCTTCGATGGGACGACTGCGAGCCTAACGGGTCGAGACAGACCGAATCTTGGAATCACGATTGTACACACCTTTCAACTACAGTACATGATCCACTCTAAGCCAAGGCTGCGCTCGCTCGGCTGGAGCACGGCATCTGATGCCACGTTTGTGGTAGCGCTATCGCGCTGGTCAGAGAGACTCATGAGGGTTGGACCCAGAAGCAGCTCGGCGAGGCCCGAGAAGCAGCACATACTTCTGGTTGTGGCACTTTTTGTGAGGCGATCGCTTCGCTTGCGGTTACTTGCTACTTGACTGTTGCAGAGCCAAACGGCTCCTAAGAGAGTCGAGAATCGTGAATGTAGGGTTGGACGGGTTTGTTGGAAGCATCCAGCGATTGCGTGCGTCTGCTCTTCGGTCACAGCCCTGAGTCAGGGATGTGCAATGATCAGTTCGAATTTGAACCACATGCGCTACTAAGCCAGCATGAAGTGTTCATCAGTCGTCATAATGAGCGCACGAGCCCCTCGAGAGGGAGCTAGCTGTCTATGGCGACAGTGGCAGTCAGGGGTCAGAAGAGATATCGTTCACCTGCATGGCTAGAAGCCAGATGCGGAGCGCTGAGGCTCCGAGGGACTCGGGCCACCTACTCACGACTACAGGTGAGCGTCTCAAGTCATGTGACAGAGCGCGCGACTTACTGGCACTCACGACTGTAGCAAGCCAACGAACCCCATGCGTTCGCTGACCGCGACAACACTGTAAAGCCAAGGGACAGCACACTGCACCTACCCATTCACGATTGCTTCCGCTCTGCGCGGAGCCCGTCTTACCCACGCAGGATCATGATCGCCATGCTTCCTCTTGCACCTTGATGAGATCACAAGCAAAGGCATATTCGCGCATCTCCTTTGCGCTCGGATTTGCCTTTTGAAAGTTTGAGTTTAGCGCTCCGGTCCTGCCTTCCCACTGGATGCCTCCGGATCGCCAAATTGCTGCAAGGGGCAGGATGCGCGAGGTGCATCCAGATTGTGGGGAAAGCAATGGATGGACGCACCTCCTCGCACAACACACAAAATTTCATGCATGCTCGATCAGAAGCGGACATCGACATTTACAATCGGCCCTTGTTGCCCCTATCGCAATCAAGAATCGTGGATTCACATCGAGTACGGGGATCCGCACGCGCACGCGCACGCGCCAAAGCGAGCATGCGAGGACGATCCTTTAATGTCTAATCATGAGTTCCTTGCGCTAGACACACCGGACTCGTGCGTCATCCTTAGGAGACCATGGGGGGTGCCGCGGCTATAGCCAGGTCCCAGCCAGCCCATGCATGGTCTGCCTTACATTCCAGGCGCAAATCCTCACTCGGTTCCAACACGCTTTCCAATCGACCTTTTCCTCCTTTCTTCCTGAGAAACGAGAGCAGAGTGAAGTTGGGCGAGACGAGACGCTGAAGTGAATCTACGGCACACGAAATGCAATTGTCTGATAAAATGGTACAAGGACGAAAGCTTCCAAAGTCCTACATCGAGACAGCTTCTCGAACAGAATGCAGCTAAGCCAAGTCGGACTAAATGGCAGAGGCGAGCGCAAGAGCCGCACAGGCCGAGGCAAGGATATAGACTGGGTGCAGATGCATGATCGCACCAGAGTTGTCGTTACCTGATCCGCTACTGGAGCCGCCGGATCCACCGCCGCCAGCTCCTCCTCCACTGCTGGATCCAGTGGGAGGAGGATCAAAAACGCGCGCAACGGCTCCTCCGTTAGATGAGATGCACTGAGCCTGTGCGGATCCGTCTTGTACAGCAGAAGCAGAAATGCTCGGCACCAGAGCCGCATTGTTGGAGAAGCTGCACGAGTCGGAGCTGTTGCGGAACAGACCATAGTACTCGGACATTGCCCAGCTCAAGCGCTGCTGGGCATTGCATTGGCTCCAATTGCCATAGGTGCCTGTCGCGCCGTTACCATCCAGAGCGGCCGAGCAAGATACTGGCGCATCGTTTTGATCGAGCAGGGAGCACGCAGCTCCGACAGTCTCGCCCAGAAGCGGCAAGTCGTTGACCGTCGCCGGCCGAGGTTGGCACTCCCAGACATTGGCTTGCATGCATGCACACAGTGCAGCATTGGGCGTGGGAGGGAGTTGCGAGCTGGCAAGTAGCACCTCGGACTGAGCAGGACAGTCAGAGGAGGTCGCTGGCAAGGGTGAGGGGATGCCTGGCGTGGTCGCATTGGCAAATTGCGCGCGAAGCCTGTCCCAGTCGGCTCGAAGGGTGACTTGTCCATTGTTGATGTCCGTCAGACCGTAGTCAAGTCCGCCAGCACTGGCATTGAGCGGGAAGTATTGGAATGCGGCCTGTGGTGCGGAATCGAGTTCGTTAGCGTGCGCTTCCTTTGATCATGACTCCCCACAAAGGCTTAGATTTGCCTGCAACTGCGACCTACTCACACCTCCAGAGAAGACGTCACTGAAAGGCGGCGAGTAGATGGCGGCGACCTCAGTCCAAGGCCTGTTCGCAGAACCTCCCTGCGCGCAGCCAAACTCCGACAGGTATGCTGGCACTGGGAGAGACCCGAAGTCCTGGGCCAGCGTGGCGTAGCCCGAAGCTTGATAATTGCTATCGCCGCACCAAGCATAGCTGTTCAGGCCGTACAAATCGACGGTATCTGCCTCATCGCCACAGGTCAGGTAGCGAGCTTGCAGTAGACGACGACCCTGCGCGCCATCGGGTCCGTCTGCCGAAGTGTATGTCACGAGGGTGTTGAGGTTGCGACCGCGCAAGTAAGCTTTGACGTCTCGAACAGCGGCTCGTACGAATGGCAGCGCATCCGTGTTGTTGTTGGCTGTTACTACTTCGTTTGCCACGTTGTAGGCGAGAACATTGTCGTACTTGGCGAAGGCGTCTACCACAGACGTGAATTGCTGGAGCAACGAAGTGTCCCATACCTGAAGACAAGATGGCATGTTTAGCTTGCCTCCATCCGCCTGCCGTCCACTTTGTGACTCAATCTCAATCGCCAGCTGAACTCACTGGATCAGCTCGATTGATGGATGCGTTTCCGGGCAGAGCCATGTCCAGGATGACATAGATGTTTGCTTGACTGAATTCGCGCATACAGTCGTCGTGATTGAGCGAGGCATTGACGCTGAACACTCTTGCGACATTGACCCCGAGATTGCGGAGATTCGGAACATCCCTTCGACACGCATCTGATAGTGCGAGAGGGTCGACGAAGCTTGTAGGCTCGGGGTAAGTCGTGCCCTCAGCGACTTCGGTCGCCACCGATTCCTGGTAGGCAACGCCTTTGATCGAGAAACGCTGGCCTGCGGGATTGACGAGGTACTTGCCACGCCTTGCGACACGCGACGGTGCAAGCTTGAGCATCGCTGACTTGCGACCTGACACTTGAATTGCATAGCCACAGACTCACCTAGAGATTTGGTCCAGCGCCGCCGCTAGATGAGGCAAAATGCACAACGCGGCGATTGCAGCCAGCGCGGTGAATGAAGTGAAGCGCATGTCGAAGGGATTGGACCGGGAATGGCGAACGGACGTCGGATCCAATCACTTTGCTGGACAGCGGAAGACTAGTGGTGGTAGCCAAAGAGCTTCAGAGTCGACAGCACCGTAGAGCAAGCAGCGGGCGGAGCGGCGACCACGTTGCGAGCAGAGCAGAAAGGCGCTGGGTCTAGAAGAGATGGTGGTATGTAAGAAACCAGTGAGGTTCGGGCTAGGATGGAGCTTCTGATGAGTCACCAGTGTCTACGCAGAGCCACAGAGGTGGCTGCGTCGGCACTGCCAAGCGATGGCAGGTGATCCGCGTGAGAGCGGGAGCTTTGGATGAGCAGCGAATCTGAATCAAGCATCGAGAATGTGGAACGGCATGCCGGAAGCGAGGTTGGCACTTTTGACCTGCATGAAGCCGTGAGGCGGAGTTCCGCTTAATTTCGAGTGCAGGCCATTCATTCATGCAAGAGCGATCTTCTTCTGCTGTGCGCTACGGGAACAATCGTGAATGCAGACTAAGCGGCGCGGGATTTGTCCTGCGGTCCTGCCACTGATCCGTCGAGACAAGCGGAGCGACATCCTTGAGCGCTGACACAAGGCAAGCTGATGATATGAGTCTCTCATCAATTAAACACCCGCATGGCAGACCCAAGACTGCGACCCGCTTGGCCACCTTGGATGAGCGGTGATAGACATTCAATTGATGAGGCTTTGGACGCGACCATCTGAATTTGACAGCAGGCTTCATGCGTATACCTGATCATCAACAGGCTCACCAATCGCGAGATCAGCAGCGGTCCTTGATTGTGATTTCGCCTCGGAACGAAGCGGCAAAAGCTGCATGAATGCGGGACCTGCCAAGACAAACCGATGCTGAGATGACATGCACGTGTCGGCCAAGGCTCTCTGACCTCGCGCACCTGGGTAAGTCAGCCATCTCGACGATCCATGAAGCTTGACGCTACTTGTGACTGCTGGGGAGAACGCAGAAGAGGTCTTGGACATGCAACAGCGGGAGTGGATCAAGTTCGGCTTGGCATATTCGTCGACTTTGGTCAGAGCGTGTCGTCGACTTACGAGTGCATGGGTGAATGGATCCGCTTCAAAAGTCGCGGCTAAGCGAGCTGAGCCCACTCGATGGATGCGTGCCCACCCCCACAAGGTGGGGTTGGATGCGAACGCATGGTGGTGATTGTGTTGTGTAATGCGCTAGAAATTGAATGTATCTTCGTAAAGGCGCAATACAACAAGTGATCTTGGGCCTGTATTAGTTGTTACAATTCTTGGCTTAGCCAAAAGTATCCTCCCATACGATCAGCTCTAGCGTTCGAGAACTGTATTGAGGGATATTGTTCACGTGATTTGCCATCTGGTGTTTGCAGAAGCAGAGACTCACGACTCTGTCCCCAGTCGTTCTCGCAAAGCCAAGCGTTCTTGGCAAGGGACAAATATGGGGACTCGCGGTCCAGAGCAGCTACCGTAGACCAAGGAGGGGTCGGACTTCGGCAAGGGTTTGTGCCCGGGCACATGTACAGTCACAAATGGTAACGCGCATGCGTGTACGAATGTGTGGGTATGCGCCAAGAGCCGCTTCCCTCCGCCTGTGCTCTGGTGGAGTCGCGCACTCAGGACTGTTGCTTGATTTGACAGCCGGCCACACTGCACCACAAACATCACACGAGCTGCTGTGTCTACGATTTGAGCTGGATGGATGAGCTTCGTATCAAGCGGCGCAACACCTCATACCTCTCAGTCCGCGCGGCCCAAAGATTCTTGAAGCCCGACGAAGCTGTCCGAAGACGTAGAGGCAAGGAAGCGAGTGTGGGTGCCGCTGAGAGGTCAACAGACCCGATGTGGCCCAAGCAAAGTTTGCTTTCGTCAGTCAAGCCACGCACAGACGCTCTCTCCCAATCAAGCCAGAAAGCGAAATTCGATGGCTTGGTCGTCGTGCGTTTGCCGTTCGGAGGTGTGCTATGTATGCTCACACAGTTGAGTGTCTGTATTATGGGGGCCACGTGTGGCATGCAATTCGCGACTGACACAGTCTGAGTGACTTGACTGTACACTACCGACTCACTACTCACGACTGGTCGTCCGTCGTCATGTGTTGCAGGCGCGGGTCAAGCCACGCGTCAATCCGTTGGGTCAGCCAACCTGTCGAGGCCCAGCTGCAAGGGCCAAGGGCGAGCTTTCAGCACACATATTGATGAGGGATTTGAATAGGATCGATCGGCACAGCGTATCCTTGTGATGATGTTCCACTATCATGAATGCTCATGGCGGGCGATGCTGACAGCATGCTGCCTCGAGCAATGGCTGTCACGAAGTCACGATTACACGCTAGCTGGAGTGCTCACAATGTAGCGTCCACGCGTCGATCTCACCAAGTCGATTTACGAGCTCGGGCCAGCTTAAGGCCGAGGATGCTACAGTATATGAGACATGCAAATGCCGAACTCATATCGTCAGGTGCACGTGTCGGCTATCTCGTGGTATTTCATACAATTGAAAGTGAGCAATGGCCCAGTGTGGGTCGCCGCCTGAGCAGCTGGACACAAGGAACAAGCCCCAGCGCAGCAAGCAGTAAGCGGTGGCTTGGGTTGAGCAGTATGTACTGTACGTGGAGAGAGAGCTGCATAGTTAGGGGCAGCTCGGTGTTTCAAGACGCGCTGGAGATGCGCCCAAACTGCAAACGTGGCATCTCCGGAGCGACTGCTGCAGTTTCATGAGTTCAGTTTCGATCAAGAATTTTGCGGGAGGATAAGATTCGCGATCAAGTGCTGGCGTGCGGGCTGCCGCCCTCGTGAGGTCAATTCAGATCCCGACCTTTGTCTGTGGTAGCAAGATTTGCAAGCGTTGACTTCGAAACAGTGCAGTATTCACATTATGATTGAACTGAACCTACAATGGGCTGATGCCAGCACAGCATTTTGAGTCACGATCTTGAAGATGCGAGCTTGTGCCGGATCGTAACGCAAGCAGCTGCGGGCCTCCTCCGCAAGGATCTCTCACAGCTATGCTTACCGCTGCCTTGAGCACCTTCAAAGCGAGTCGCGAGTGGGAGGTTGCTGTACGCCTGCGTTGCGGAACGCTGCGTGAGCTCGTCTTGCCTTAGCGCACCTTTACGCGAGATTCATCAGCATGCAAACGCTGTCATCCCTGGCTCGCAGCGTGCTCCTCATAGAGCGGTTTGGTGCGCGGCCTGAATCGCACATGACGCTGCGGCAATTCGCCTCGTACTTGCCTCAGCGCGAGCGTGGCAGTAGTGATGTATGCACCATGCAGCCAAAGCGCGAGCTCGCGGCCGTTGGCAGCAAACGGCACCAAGTATGCGGCTCATTCATAGACTGACCAATCGCCAGCTAGCATATTGGGATTGACCGACCTCAGATCGTAGTGCAGTGCGGTATGCAGTAGACGACCCTACGCACGTCTGCATGCCGTCGCGATTATAACATCGTCATGGCAACAGTGTCCCCGGCCGCGCGCGAGCATCAGCGGCATGATGTGATATCGTTTCCTACAGTGCTATACCGCTCCTGCATGTACGTATAGCTGTTCTCATGCACACCTCCGCGGCTTGGCTGCGAAAGGTCCTGAACCGCGCGCGCGTGCTTGCATGGCATGGAATGGCGGGTTCACGGCGTTCAGACGACCGGGCGCGCGGGCGTCATCTCAGTCGTCGGGCACTCGTGCACCACAGCCACCTGTTCAGCCGGATACTCACAGCATGGGCGAGATTCCCCTGAGGCGTGCCAGTCGAAATCTCGGCAGAGCTTCTGCTGGCTAAGCGTTGTCGTTGCTCGAGAACCCTACCTGGTCCGCACCCTCGACTACAGTCCTGATCTAGAGTTGACACACCTCTACACTTCCCCCACCCATCTGACCCTTCCCTCATCGACTCGACCAGCAAGCGCAAGTGCTTGCGAACGGCACTTCTCCTTGACAGCTGCCAATTTCGAGGCGTCTGCAACCGCGAACCGGTCAGATTGCCACCGGCGAGGCTGTTGCCTGTGCGACGTGCTTTGCGCTTGATCCGGTTTTACCTCGACACCTTCTTCCTACCCAACCCCACCCGCTCAGCTCGATAGCTTCCTGCTCTTCGCGCCTCTGCATCGGCCCTCTCACACCAGTCGATCCTAGATCTCAGGTGAATCTAGCGCGTGCTTGGTGATCGTCGCTTCACAATTTTGCTTCCGCACGAGGCAGTGCTTTGCAAACCGCGGATCTGCTTGTTTAGGAGCTAGATCTCGATAGCGGTCGCTCTCTCATCTCAAGATGGCGCATCAAGGTGCCTATGGCGGAGGTGCACCGCCTGCGAATCCCTTTGCTGGCGCTGCAGCTTATCGTGACGATGTAGGCAGCGAAGCCAGCGGTTTCGGACCAGCCGAGAGGAGGGATACGTTTCAATCCGAAGGCAGCGTTTCCGATCTCCTGCCCAACCAAGGATACGATGCCAACGACTCCTACGAAGGCGGCCAAGGCAATGCATATAGTCAGGAGTCGTTCTCTCGGGGCGGCAATGGCTCCGCAGCGGGATACGGTGGCAATTACGCGGCCTCCGGTATATCGAGCCCTTACACAGACTATCCCGGCAGTGCAAATCCAGGTGGATACACGCAGAGAGAGCCCTACCCAGCTTGGACAGTCGAGCACAACATTCCTCTTTCCAAAGAGGAGATCGAGGACATTTTCATTGACTTGGCAAACAAGTTCGGTTTCCAGCGCGACTCGATGCGCAACATGTACGACCACCTCATGATCATGCTCGACTCACGCTCTTCACGCATGAGCCCAGCACAGGCGCTGCTGACCCTGCACGCGGACTACATCGGCGGAGAACACGCCAACTACCGCAAGTGGTACTTTGCCGCTCAATTGGATCTCGACGACGCCATTGGCAAGGTACAGAACCCTGGTCTTGCCCGTGCTGCCAGCATGGCCCGAGGCGGACGCAATGCCAAAGGTGCGAAGGCGGCTGCAGCAGGTCCTCAGGGCAAGTCTTTGCAGAGCGCCGAGACGCGATGGCGAGACGCGATGAACAGGATGAGCGAGTACGATCGCTTGCGCCAGATTGCACTCTATCTGCTTTGCTGGGGCGAGGGCGGCCAAGTTCGTTTCGTCCCCGAGTGTCTATGCTTCATCTTCAAGTGCGCAGACGACTATTACCGTTCTCCAGAGTGCCAGAACCGCATGGAGCCGGTGCCCGAAGGTCTCTATCTAAGGGCGGTTGTCAAGCCACTCTACCGTTTCCTGCGCGATCAGGTCTTCGAGGTAGTGGATGGCAAGTTCGTGAAGAAGGAAAGAGACCACGACAAAATCATTGGCTACGACGATGTGAACCAGCTGTTTTGGTACCCTGAAGGCATCGGCCGGATCGTCTTGAACGACAAGACCAGATTGGTTGATGTGCCTGCGAATCAACGTTTCATGAAGTTCGACAAGATCGATTGGCCTCGTGTCTTTTTCAAGACTTACAAGGAGAAGCGCAGGTGAGTTTGACAGCACTAGCGGTTGCCACTTTGGTGTTGCAGCGAAGCTGAATACGAGTCGTCGCCATTCCGCAGCTTCTTCCATTTGCTGGTCAACTTCAATCGTATTTGGATCCTCCACATTTCCGTCTTTTGGTACTACACTGCTTTCAATGCTCCCAAGATTTACGAGCCGTTTGATCGTGAAGCTACTACGGCACAGTTGCTCTCTGCTTCTGCGCTTGGTGGTGCCATGTCTACGTTCCTCATGATCTGCGCAACTCTGGCCGAATTCTCGTACATCCCGACCACTTGGAACAACACGAGTCACTTGGCTCGCCGCATGGCCTTCTTGCTAGTTTGTCTCGTCGTTACGATTGCTCCAGCTGTCTACATTCACGGCATTGTTGGACCGGACGACAAGGACGGACGGATTCCGACCATCGTTTCGTACGTTCACATTGGTGTCTCTGGCTGCATCACTGCGCTCTTCTCTCTCGTCCCATCCGGCAGAATGTTTGGCGATCGAGTGGCAGGCAAGGCTCGGAAGTATTTGGCCAACCAAACCTTCACTGCAAGCTACCCTCCACTCCGCGGCAACCATCGTTTCTTCAGCATCCTGCTTTGGGCACTGGTCTTTGGTTGCAAGCTTACTGAAAGCTACTTCTTCTTGACGCTGTCGTTCCGCGACCCTCTGGCGATCATGATCACCATGAAGGTACAGGGATGCAACGACAAGTACTTCGGCACATCTCTCTGCTCCAATCAACCTGCCTTCGCTTTGACCGCCATGGTCATCATGGACCTTGCACTCTTCTTCTTGGACACATTCCTGGTGAGCTGCCGCTCTGACCGTCATTTTCTGGCGCATCGCCCGCTGATTCAGGTCTTTTCAAATCCCGCAGTGGTACGTCATCTGGAACACTGTCTTCAGCATTGGCTGGGCTTTCTCGATGGGTCTGTCCATCTGGACACCATGGAGTGACATCTTCCAGAGGCTCCCCAAGCGCATCTACGCCAAGCTGCTCGCGACAGCTGACATGGAAATCAAGTACAAGCCCAAGGTACTTGTCTCCCAGGTCTGGAACGCTATCATCATCTCGATGTACCGCGAGCACTTGTTGTCGATCGACCACGTCCAAAAGCTTTTGTACCACCAGGTTCCATCGGGAGACGAGGGGAAGCGCACATTGCGAGCGCCCACCTTCTTCATCAGCCAGACCGACAAGGGCATCAAACCCGAGTTCTTCCCCAAGGGCTCTGAGGCCGAACGTCGCATCAGCTTCTTTGCTCAGTCTCTCACGACCACGCTACCGGAGCCATTGCCCATTGACGCTATGCCTACCTTCACCGTGCTGACTCCCCACTACTCGGAGAAGATTTTGCTCTCGCTTCGTGAAATCATCCGTGAGGAAGACCAAAACACCCGTGTCACGCTGCTCGAATACTTGAAGCAGCTGCATCCCGTTGAATGGGACAACTTCGTCAAGGACACCAAGATTCTCGCCGAGGAGACCGGAGCTATGGCTGGCTCATCTCCTTTTGGTGGCGATAATGGAAGCGACGAGAAGAGTGGCACCAAAGGTAGTGCGAAGACGGATGACCTGCCCTTCTACTGCATCGGTTTCAAGTCTGCTGCGCCCGAATACACCCTCCGTACCCGTATCTGGTCGTCCCTCCGAGCTCAGACGCTGTACCGCACAGTATCTGGTTTCATGAACTACAGCAAGGCCATCAAGCTTCTGTACCGTGTCGAAAACCCCGAGGTCGTCCAGCTCTTTGGTGGCAACACGGAAAAGCTCGAGCGCGAGCTCGAGCGCATGAGCCGAAGGAAGTTCAAGTTTTGCATTTCCATGCAGCGATACTCGAAGTTCAACAAGGAAGAGCACGAGAACACCGAGTTCTTGCTCCGTGCCTACCCCGACTTGCAAATCGCGTACCTCGACGAGGAAGCTCCGCGCAAGGAGGGAGGAGAATCTCGCTGGTTCTCGGCGCTGGTGGATGGCCATTCCGAGATTCTGCCAAACGGCAAACGCAGACCCAAATTCCGCATCGAGCTCCCCGGCAACCCAATTCTCGGAGACGGTAAATCGGACAACCAGAACCATGCCATCATCTTCCACCGTGGTGAATACGTTCAGCTTATCGATGCTAATCAGGACAACTACCTCGAAGAGTGTCTCAAGATCCGCTCTGTCCTCGGAGAATTCGAGCAGTTCAATGTCTCTAACCAGAATCCGTACGGTCCTGGCCACGCTGAATTCTCTCAAGCGCCCGTGGCCATTCTCGGCGCTCGCGAGTACATCTTCTCGGAGAACATTGGTATTCTTGGTGACGTCGCTGCCGGAAAGGAACAGACGTTCGGTACCATGGCTGGTCGTGGTCTCGCGCAAATTGGCGGTAAGCTGCATTATGGTCATCCGGACTTCCTCAACGCGCTCTTCATGACCACGCGCGGTGGTGTCTCGAAGGCTCAAAAGGGTCTACACCTCAACGAAGATATTTACGCTGGTATGACAGCCTTTGGCCGTGGTGGTCGCATCAAGCACTGCGAGTACTACCAATGCGGTAAAGGACGTGACCTGGGATTCGGCACCATTCTCAACTTTACCACCAAGCTCGGCAACGGTATGGGAGAGCAGATGCTATCGCGCGAATACTACTATCTCGGTACGCAGCTCCCGGTTGACAGGTTCCTGACTTTCTACTACGGCCACCCCGGCTTCCACATCAACAACATTCTCGTCATCATGTCGGTACACCTGTTCTTGTGGGCCATGGTGTTCATCGGCACGCTCAACTCTCAGCTCAGCGTTTGCGAATCGACCAACAGCGAATACCAAGTTGGCACTGGAGGATGCTACTACCTGTCGCCCGTGTTCCAGTGGATCCGCCGCACGATCATTTCGATCTTCTTGGTCTTCATGATTGCCTTCTTGCCGCTCTTCTTGCAAGAGTTGACAGAGCGCGGTGCCGTCTCGGCCGTCATTCGTTTGGCGAAGCACTTCTTGAGCTTGAGTCCAGTCTTTGAGGTGTTCTCCACTCAAATTTACAGCCACTCGATCATTTCCAACTTGACGTTCGGTGGTGCACGCTACATTGCCACCGGTCGTGGCTTCGCCACCACGCGCCAGTCCTTCGCTTTGCTCTACTCGCGATTTGCTGGTCCGTCGATCTACTCTGGAATGCGGTTGCTGTTGCTGTTACTCTACGTGACGCTTACGCTGTGGATGCCACACCTGATCTACTTTTGGATTTCGATCCTAGCACTGTGCGTTGCACCTTTCCTATTCAACCCACACCAGTTCTCCATCCCGGACTTCGTCATCGACTACCGCGAATTCCTACGCTGGATGTCGCGCGGAAACTCTCGCTCGCACGCCAACTCCTGGATTGGATACTGCCGTCTCAGTCGTACAAAAGTCACGGGATACAAGAAGAAGCGTCTGGGCCACCCAAGCGAAAAGCTCGCCGGTGATGTCCCACGTGCCAGCTGGCGCACCATTCTATTCGGCGAGATCGTTGGTCCGATCATCCAAGCCATTGTCTTCACCGTTGCGTACGCCTTCGTCAAGAGCTTCCACGAGCGTGGTGACCCGCCCATGGGTGCCATCGCTCGTCTGGCCATCATCGCCCTTGGGCCCTTGGTCTGGAACGCGGCTGTCCTGCTCGTGCTGTTTCTGGTGTCCATGTTCTTGGGACCAGCGTTGAACAATTGCTGCGCCAAGTTTGGATCGATCATGGCGTCCATTGCCCACTTGCTCGCCGTCGTCGGCATCGTTGCGTTCTTCGAATTCTTCTGGTTCCTGGAGCTGTGGCGAACAAGTCATGCCGTCCTTGGTATCATTGCCGTCGTCATGATCCAGCGCGCCATCTTCAAGATCCTGATTTCTCTTGTCATCTCGAGAGAGCTCAAGCACGACGAGACCAACCGAGCTTGGTGGACTGGGCGCTGGTACGGTAGAGGACTGGGTGGTCACGCTTTCAGCCAGCCAGCAAGAGAGTTCGTCGTCAAGATCATTGAGATGAGCTTGTACAGCGCCGACATGGTCTGCTGCCACATTCTCCTCTTTGGCTTGTCGATCCCGATGCTCATTCCCTACATGAATCGACTGCAGAGCACTGCGCTATTCTGGTTGCGACCAAGCAGGCAAATTCGCGCCCCGATCTTCAGCTTGAGAGCGAGGAAACAACGGAGAAGCATTGTCATCAGATATGGCATACTCTTCGTTCTCACCTTTGCTCTCTTCATTGCGCTCATCGTTCTGCCGATCATCTTTGCGGACACGATCGACCTCAACTGCTCGTTCTGCAAGTCACTTTAAGCTGATCACTCGAGGGAGGAATTGACGCGCTGCCAAAGTTTCGAGTCTTCACGTTACATATGCATGACAATCCAATCTCATCGCTTCACCGCAGTTCGAGATCACATCGCTAGTAAAGGTCCCAATCAACTTTGCATCCTCCACCCATTGAACCCTTCCCTATACAACTGTCTTGCTATCTCGGACCTCTCTAACAGACCAACCACTACCTGCTTGCCAAACCCTTCCGCCGGCTCGTTTCGCCCCTTTTGAACTCCCTCGCGCGCCTGCTCTCACACACTCGCTTGGCTATTCTCTCCCCTTAGAGCTGCGAAAACACTGTACCGTCTTCGCAATGCGTCCGAACGTCGCATTTCCGGTCATGAACCCCGTCGATCTTGCTCGGACGATGGGATCGACTCTTCGAACAATGAATAAATGGCTCACAGATGCAGCGTCTGCGTGGGATTCGTATCTGTCGCGATGTTGGATCCGAAGCTGTCTTGACACCGGTAAATCAGCTCACGCCGCAAGGCGCCAAATTCAAGTCGTAAGTGTCGAGTGATTCTTTCCTTGTGCCTCCTCCATCCACTGTGTGACTCTTGACTGCTCCCAAAAGTTGAGTTGGGGTTGAACACGTGACAGCGCCTGACGTCAGCCAAGCGGCGTCGCCCCGCGCACAAGGACGGCGGAGTTTACCTAGCGATGTTGGCTGCTTGAACGAGGTGTGCAACACTCACGGCTCCTTCAAGACCTTCCAATCGTACATCCACGCCCGACCTCCGAGACATCCAATCACGAGCATACCTTATATCAGCTACTCAAAGCCGGTGCTGCACCTACAGCAGCTACTCCACAGACAGCACGAAAATTGACCAGCGAGCATCGATACACAGGACACTCACCCACGACTTGCCCCACGAATTCCATCATGTAGGTCGTTTGAAATTCTGGAATGAAGTGGGACATAGGGGCTACGAGGAGACATAGCATGGGGCATGCGCAAGTTTCGAAGGCTAATTAGGATGTCTTTGCCGACATGTCCAGGTCCGCTGCGTCGTCCAACCTCTTGCCCAAGCAGGACTCACCTGCACACAAGTCTGTGGCGGAGTTCGTCAGATCATCAGCTAACGGCGATCCCCCTGCGCAAGCGTTTAGCTTTGATGGGTGAGTCGGCGCTGCCTTGTGGATGGCCCCTTGAATGCAACCAAAATACACTGACGCTTTGCCCTACCGCTTCCACTCGTCCATCCCCACACGAACATCTATACTTGATCGCACTGTTGTTCATTGGGAAAACAGGGAGAGGGGAACGGGAAGAGCATCTTTGTGCAAGCACTTGCCTGGAGGCAGAACAGAGTGCACAGACATTGCGTTGGAAGGTGAGCAAGCTAATCAAGCTGTCGAGGAGGCATTTGGATTGGAGGTGCGGACATCGTGCAGATGTACCGGTGGTGAGCCTCATCGACCTTGTGACGAGGCTACGTACAAAGTCAAGCATCTGGTTGCTTCTTCGACCGCCACGCCCATGAAATAGCTCCTGACTCCAGGACTCCAGCACCTCAATGTCACTTACTCCCACACGCTGGTCTTGCGCTTTTCATCTCGCTCAGCAAAAGATTTGTTCGCTCAGATGCAATCCCTAGGATGTGAGTGGCGGCCCTCTTCGATGAGGTTGACTTGCTTTCACTGGACATCTTGCTGACCTGAATCACGACTTCGTGATGAATTACGCAGTCTTCTGTCAATTGCCTCAAGACCCCGCATTGACCCACATTCAATGTCGCAAGCTGCCACAGTGAAGTCGACCGAGGCGCCTGGTGAATGCAATCAACCTCTCAGTTTGTTTGCCTGCAGGATGTTGTGTTGCTCTCCACCTCATCTCCTCAGCGGACTGGCACGTGTTGCTCGGCCCGAGGTGTAGACGAGCTCGTCTCTCAGCGGATTCGCATGAGGGCCGTTGTATGCTGCCTCTGCGAGCGAGTGAGCTCGCGTGGCCGAGCTTGTGCATGAGTGCCACGATATCTGCCAGCTTGGCCGCTCCTTGCTTCGATCGCCAATCATGAATCGTGAATCTTGACTTGCCAACGCATCTTGCAATCAAACGGTGAATCGTGAATCTTGAGTCGTGAGTGGTGAATGCTGCTGATGTGGTTGCGGCGGGTCGTCTCTCGATCGGCACCTAGCTACGACTCAATCTTCAGTCACAGTGCGCCTCGCGGTCTGGCTGCAAAACGCGCTTGCAGCGCCAGGGCGCATGGACTGCTGCTGCTGCCCGCTGCATGGGTTCGGCCAACGTCACGATTGTCTTGACCTCCACCATACCCTTCGACGCTACCAAGCACAGCATCAACGCTGAGAAAGTGACTCTCTCTGACATCCGCTGCCGAGTTCTACAATCTCGCATGACTTCCCTTGCACACGCCAGCCCCTCACTTTCGGTGCGGCTCACCTTCAGACCACCCGACTGAGCGAGAGGCAAGATGGCTGCCAGCATACTCCGCTTGCCGACGGAGCTCTTGTTGCGCATCGCAACAGAAGCTGGCGTGTCAGCGTCGTGTGCCCTAGAAGCTACAAGTCGAGATCTGCTTGCAGTTCTAAGACTGCACGAGGACTATGTCTGGCGCATACATGCCATCGAGCTTACCCGAGAGCTGGGAGACCCTGGAAGCACGAGCAATGCCAAGTCGAGCACTTGGCGCATTAATGAAGTCGACAGCCTGGATCAGCTGGTCAAGATGCGTGAGACTCATGATCTCTCCACATGGTCAGTCGTTCGCTCATGGAGGGAATATGGTGAGCTTCAAATTGTCTCGTTCATTTGTAAGCGATCGAGTTGTAGACTGAAAATTGCTGCTGCCACACAGCCCAAGTACACATCGCCACGGAACGCAATTGGTTGACCGGTGAGCCTCGCGTGAAAGCTACGCTGCTACCAACGGATCCTCCCGGCCCGCCTTCCCCTATAAATTGCCATCTTTGGCGCTTCAGGCCTGACTTTGAGGAGCGCTACGTCATCTCCACGAGCATAACTCTTCCTGGCCATCATTTGGCGGGCGCGATCACTATCGTGGACCTGGATACAGGGGTGCTGCTATCGTCGGTCGAGACGCATTTCCCGTACCAGCACCTGGAGTATGATGCTCGTGGGAAGGCCTTTGTTGTTAGTACTGGAGGCGATGGCTTGCAAGTATGGCGACGCACCCAAGCCGGTGGTACGGATGCAACAGGAGCATTTCAGACACCAGCTCCTCATCATTTTGGCCTCTCACCAAACTCTGGCTTAGTCACGGAAGTTGGGCCGAAATGTCCATCTGACCGACAGGTCTGCTTTCAGCGCACTGACATTCTGCCGCACGACAAGCGTGTTAGAGGGTTTCATCTCAGATGGCCGTAAGTGCATCTTCGGACACTTCGTCAGAAGGAAGACAGCTCACTCTCGTTCACACACGCCCCGAAGTATCCTATGCGTCGTATCGGACGAAGGCATAGGGTGGATCTGGAGTGAGTAGACTCGAAACGCTTCCGAGGCTAGCACTCGGCTGACCCTCGCCAGGTCAACTCTCCCTCTCTCCCTTTCTCAGACTTGGAAGAAAAAGCATGCTTACTGAAAACGCTCAAGATCGCTGAGAATGCAGTGGGTCACCTCGAGCAAGATGACGAGGTGGTAATGTTTGCCATGAGTGAGTCTTGACGTCACTCGTCGTCTGTGCTTCACCCGTAAGCTCAGTCGCTTTTCCAGATCACGGCTACGATGTCTATGTCAAGGACACTGGCGCCCTACTTGGGACGCTTGACGGAAGAAAGCTGGCTCAAGAGGGCGCGAACATCTATTCTTTGAGGCGTGCGGCAACAGCAAGGGACGACTTTGACCCGTCCCCTTCCGCTCGCGCATTTGTGCAGGAGCGACCGTGGTGCATCGCAGACCAACACACATCTCTCAAACTCGAACATGGCAACCTCTGTCCAAGTGAGGACTTTGGAAGTCACGAATGGCGTGCTGGTATGATCCGTGGCAGCACGATTGTTGGCATCAGTATGGGTCAAGAATTGCTCATTTGCTCCGACTGGAAAGCCTACTTCAGCGGTGGCAAGCGGGCGAACGACTGCGTTGCACTCATCCAGTGCACTCGACCATCATCTGGCGAAGGTGGGTCATCGTCCACATTGTGACGGAGTAGGCGCCACAGCAGCGTTCTTGGCATGCACAAAGAGCTGATGCCTGGCATCATGCGTTCCATACAGATGATCCAGATCCAGACCGATGGTTGACGGCGGCGCACGGTCGCGCGGCTTGGTCCAGCATGTGAGCTTTGAACTTCTAGAGCTAGTCACATCGGCGGTAGCGACCACGGCTGACTTCTCTCGTTGGTAATCCATCAGGGGCTCGACATACATTCTTCCACTGCCAAAGAAGGGCAGACTACCGTCGGCTGGTCCGGACAGTCGCTCAGTGCACTGCTTCCCCAACTCGATGCCACACAGTCGTAATACGCGAGTAAATCGTCATACTAAGAAGCCCTCCCCAAAGTGCTATGCTCACGATGCCTTAATTCCTCGCATTTCGCAGTATGATGATGAGCTGCATGCATCTTACTAGTGACGGCTTGCTTTCTAAGTTCATGACCCACTGGATGTGGCGAGGGAGAGGGGGGGCCATGGATGAGGAAGATCACCCGTCTATGTTCGACCGGACAGGCATAAGGTCCATCAGCTTTGGATGCGCAGTCGAGACTCGCGACTCGAGCCACAACAGCGATCGCAGCGCGAGCAGGGAAGCAGCAAATGAAGGCATGGATCGGGTGCGTAGCATCAGCTGTGTTTGAGATAGTATGAATGCTGCTAACGCTTCAAGGGTTCAACAGAGCGCTTTTGAGGGTTGGCACGAGAGCCAGCAGTACACTTCGCCGACGCTACGTGGAGGCGATCCGGTGTGATATCGCTGCAGCGGTCTTCACGACCAGCCTTATGGATGACGAGGAATCAGATATGCCGCATCTGCTCAGCGTGGTAGACAGAAATTCCTCCCACAGCTGTCGGCCGCTACCATGTATCCCTTTTACCAATCGTGGTAGCGGTGCTCCATCTGGCGTCCAGGCGCCAGCTGTGGCCTTCTGGCGGATGCGCGATGCATTGTCTCGTATATACCTGCAACATCTCGGACAGTCAGCCACTCGAGTGACGCACTAGGTTCTCCACGGGTCATTTGACCGGGGGCGAACGAGCTGCATTTGTGAGTTTGCACTTGCTCTTGTTCCGATAGTGGACAATAGTGAGCTCGCGCTTCTTGTCGAAGGTCTCCTCGCCACTTGCCGATAGCGCTTCTGGCCTGGGAGAACCAGGCAGCGTTCGAAATGTGTCATCGGCACGTGGCGTGAGAATCGAGTCGTGGTGCAGGTGCCTCACTGCAGGAAGGGCCAACAGATAGAAGAAGCGGGAATGGACTTGCCTGTTTGAGATCGCTGCAAGGCGCAGCGCGTCCAGCTCATTCCAGAGAGCGTCACGAATTCGTGAAGCATTGCTTCTTGTTGCAATCACGAGCGTCATCAGTGACAATGCGCTTTGGGCGCCGCCGACAGACAGTCACGAGTGGAACGTTCGGGATGGTGGGGCGGCAATGTGGGGCTTGAGGTGCGCAATCTACTACTGTACACAAGGCTGCGTGGCTACTCTTGCGCCCCAACGCATACGTATGCCGGACCAACTTCAACAGACCCATAGATGAGCGCGCCTTACTTCGGCAAAGACACGTCACCTTCGCGTGTGTTTGCTAGAGACGTAGCAGGCCTCGTGAGTCATCACGATTGTTCTGGCGTGATGTTGATTGTATGAGGCGCCAAGCAAGGATCAGAATCGCCACTCAGAGCAAGTCGGTGTGGTGTGCCTGCCGCGATAAGGTGTGATACGCCAAGAAGGGCTCGGTGCAGTGCGGGCAAGCTGAGAATGCCCGACCGGAGGTCTGGGCCAAGCAGCCGCGTGCTCATCTCGTGATCTTCCAATTTATCGAATCTGTTCTGCCACTAAGCTGCGTCGACCTACGTCCATTGCCATTCGCATTTGTGAGTCACCATTCACGATTGATTCTGAAGGCTTTGAGGCTATGAAGCTGCTACGTGCTGCAAAGTCAAACAGCAAGCACCGGCTCTTGTTCCCCAACAATGGCTACCGCAGGAACACGTCTGGGCTGCACTCAAGATTGCAGAGCTAAGCCGATTAATTGAGAAGGTCCAGCAGCTATGCAGCACTTTATTCACATTGTGCCTTGATCTTGCTGCAGATGTGATGCATGCAGCAGCGTTAGCCCACAGCGCGGCATAAAGGGTGAGTGAGCACAAACAGCGTGTGTCGAGCGCGCTGTGCGCCTGCGTGCTGCTGCTGCTGTACGTCCAGCAGCAAGCAGCACGCACGTCCATCCCACGCCCTCGCGTCGGGAAGACTTCGATTGCTCGCGAAGCTGGGCCGGATAATCACGAATCCTGAATGGCTGTCAGCACTCGATCTCTCCGCGACTCTTCTGACTCGTGATTCACGATTAGTCTGCGACGTACGCACGGCTCATTTACTGGTATACCGTACAGTACAACACATTTGTGAGTCTGATTTTAAAATGTCGACTTCGCCTGGCCTCGCCTCAACGTTCCAGCATGCTATTGACTTTTAGTTGCCTAGGATCAGACGCCGCGCGAGACGCCGACCGTGTGTTGGAGCACGGGCGAAGCACCGATGAGACAAGGCGACGGACTGCTGACGGACAGAGCATCCGCATGGCCAACTCGCCCGCCGCGCCTTGCACGGACGACTCATGACGTGACCCTCGCACGCCCGTCCGCTTCGGAAATCTGTGGTAGCATAAGCGGCATGCAGCTGCAGGCTTGCCTAGCTGTTGCTACAGTACACTGCGCCACACACACCTACACACAGCACCTAGCCACAGCACAGTCAGCAGCAGCATCGGCCTTCCTTCCAAACCTTGGACGCGCAGCGCAGTCTTCCGTTTTGCTGCGTTTTGTTGCATCCACGCGGTCCACTCAGATGCAAGCTGAACTGGCACGTCACTCACACTCACCACGTACATTCAGCCATTCCCGATAGAGAGCACGGGCACTCAGGCACACAGTACACAGTACACAGCACAGCCCTATGCTTGCTGCGCTAGCGTCCAGCCAATCCGAAACTCGTCACTGACCCTCGGTGTACTCGCAAGCTGTAGCTACGCCCGGCCGTCTGTCGATTGCATCAATTTGGTGCAGTTGCTGGTTCATCTGCGCGCGAGTCCCGCTTGAATCCCAGCCCACGCTCACCGCGCGCCTTGACTCCACGCTACGTCCACCGGGGACCCTCAAGCCACGCACCGCAGGCACTGCAGCAGCAACACGTCCATCAGGAATAATTGCGCATACACGATCACAACTCACCTACCCCCGCACACAATCGAATCAGCAATCACGAATCCTACATCCTCGCTGAGGCAACTAGCTTGACCTTTGACTCCTTCAGTCAAGGGCGTGCGCCCCCCATTCCTTTGGCAATTTGGCGCTCCTCGGCGTAACAACAGAGTCGCCAACCGCGTGATCAGAGGCGGAACTGCCCAAATCTAGGCAATGCTCGCAACTATCTGACAAAGTACTCACCAGTCTTCGAACCCCTCATTCGGTGCCCAGAAGCTACGCCTCACTGCGGTCCAACATTATATGGTTACGTATTCTTTCCAGCCCAAGGCGACGTCTCGAGTGAACGTTTGGTCGGCATTTGCAGCGCTTCAGGGCTTGCCCTCCTCAGAGATCAGGCTGCTGCTCCAACGACTGACGACGAAATTGCTCGCGTCATCTACCGACAAGGCAGGACTGCGAGACCGCTGCACTCTTTATAATGTCCTTCTCGTGGAAGAGCTTGATAGGAGCAGGTGGATCGAGTAGCAACAACAACGTAGCTGGCCCTAGCAGCGGACACGATGAGTTGGCACACCTGTCTGGCGAAGCGCTGGATGCTGCGCTTGGTGGCGCTTGGGAAGAAGCGATGGAAGAAGCCCGCTTGCTTGGCATGCCAAATGTGAGTCGAGCGTAGATGTAGGAAGCTCGAACGTGTCATGCTCACCTACTTTTGGCCCCGTCTGCCTATTTGTAACAGTTCGGAAACACTTGGTAAGTCTGAATCGTGCGCTAGCTTCATAACCTGATGCTGACACCTGCGCTATCATGATGCATGCAGCTACGCGAACTCAGTTCTGCAAGCCCTCTACTTTTGTCGGCCCTTTCGAGATTCGATGCTTGCGTACGTCGCTGACGCGAGTGAGAAGCAGGCGCTGGGTCAGACAGTGGGCCCTGACGGGCGTTTCATCGCGACGTCAGCGAGTGGTACCCAGGAGCAGGTGATGGATGGGTCCAGACTGCGAATCGCATCCGAGGCTGGGCCCAGTACGCCTCCGATCTCCCCGCTTTCACAGGTACCTCCGTTCGATGCACCCGTTCGGACCCCTTCCGGGCGTGCAGGGATGCGTCCGTCCACAGCAGCAGCATCAACCGCCGCGCCTACGGCCCATAAGCGGCAGAACAGCGGTACTTGGGGCTTTGGCGGTCGGGGAGGAGCAGGTGCGAAGAAATCTAAACCACCTTCGCGGAATCCGTCGCCTACGAGGCCGAACGGCAGTGCAGCAGGAGCAAATGGTGCCAAAGTCGCACCTGACGATCCGACAGCGGCAAGAAAAGACCCCGAGAACCTATTTGTAGCGCTCAAAGAACTCTTCAGCCTCATTTTGTCCCAGCCTGTCCCACTCAAAGATGGACTAGCCGCTCTAGGCTCAGCGTCCGGTGGTGGATCCAATTCACTTGGCCGCAAAGCTTCGGGCCGACCATCAACGGCGAATGGCCGACTGAGCTCCGTCAACACGGGCTCGAGCGGTGGGGCTTCTACCGCAGGAGAGGCGGCTGGCACAGTGGACGCCAAGGCACTCAAGGCTTTCCTCGGTGCTCTGAAGAGAGAAAATGTGCTTTTCAATAGTTCGGCGCACCAGGACGCACATGAATTTCTCAACTTTACTCTCAATCGCGTTGGCGAGGAGATTGTGGCGCTGCAGAGAGATGAGGCCAAGACGGAAAGGGGCAACGGAACGATCAAAAGATCCAGCAAGACGGCGCACATACAGATGATAGATGGCAAAGTGCTGGCTGGTCCTGAGATCCAGAATGACAACAAGGAGGATGGCAGAGAGGCTCAGAAAAGCGTCAGGCACGTAGGTCAAGGCGGACAGACGTGCGTTCATCGTCTGTTTGAGGGTACATTGACCAATGAGACGAGATGTCTCACGTGCGAGACGGTGACCTCGCGCGACGAGTCGTTCCTAGATCTGTCCATCGACATTGAGCAGAACAGCTCGATCACATCCTGCCTCCGGCAATTCAGCACCAGCGAGATGCTCTGCTCGCGCAACAAGTTTTTCTGCGACACTTGCTCTGGTTTGCAAGAAGCAGAGAAGCGCATGAAAGTCAAGCGGTTACCAAACGTGCTGGCTTTGCATCTCAAGCGCTTCAAGTACGAAGAAAAGCTGCAGAAGGTGAGTCCGAGACAATTTGCATGTCCGGAAAGTATCACACTGACGCCGACGTTTGGCGACAACAGTATGTGAAGCTAGCATACCGCGTGGTCTTTCCTTTCTCCTTACGGCTCTTCAATACATCCGACGATGCGCCGGACCCTGATCGGCTTTACGACCTCTTCGCTATTGTCGTTCACTTGGGCTCAGGCCCGCACCATGGGCATTACATTGCCATCATCAAGGTTGGCCGAAAGTGGTGCGTGTTTGACGATGAGAGTGTCAAATTCATCGACGAGGCCGACATTGCGCGTTACTACGGCGATGCGCCCGGAACGGGCTCCGCCTACGTACTCTTCTACCAGGCAAGAGAGCTCGACTACGCAGATCTTGGGCTTCCGCGTCATGCGCCGCTTGCGTGGGCACCACCACCACCCCCGTCAAGCGTATTGGCTGCAGCCGCGAGTGGCGCTGCCTTTGCGAACAGTAGTTCGAGCGCCCATGTGCTCCCTTCTTCGGCACAGTTCGTGGCCAACACGCCTCCTATTAGTATGCCCCATCCAAACATGACAACGCCGACTGCTGCGACGCCCAGTGGTAGCGTTGGCAGTAGCACCGGCTTCTTTGGACGGAGGCAGAACAGCGTCGCGGAAACGGATCGGCCGACACCGGGGTCCATCGTGCCAGGAAACGCTTCGATCGCCACAACAAGCTCATCCGGTGGATGGCTCAGCAGTCTTCGAGGGGGCCGCGACAAGAAGACCTCCAGCGCTGGTGTGACTTCTCCATCGACGGACCCTTTCAACTCTCCTTCTGTCGTCAAGACAGGAGCCGACAACGTATTGTCAGGCTCAGCAATGGGCTTGGGACAGGCAGAGCAGCACGATGATGCTGCGTCAGTCGGGACTAGCTCCACAGGCAGCGCTGCTTTTCGTGGACGAACAGGGCTGGATCCGCTACCGGCAGCGGACAGTCGAAGAGGTAGCTCCACTTCCCCAGCGCCGGTCAATCGGCAGGATGATTCAAGTTGGGATTCTCCAGCTCACACGTCGTCTCCTCAGAAAGCTGCTATGGTTGCGCCGTCGGGCTGGACCGCCGCTGCGGACCTGGACAACAACGCGGCCAGTGTGCCCGCTGTCACGCCGCCTCGGCCTCCTGTCGCGACTTTGCACCCTGCGGGTGCAGCTCACGGGACTCCTAATTCACACGCTCCCAGCACCGATCCAGGCGGCATTTCTCCTTCTGCGTCTTACGCAAACATTGCGCCCCAAGGAGCAGCCTTCGCACCCGCAGATAGGCCCTTGTCGAAGAAGGAGCAACAAAAGATTGCCAAATCGAGCAGGAGGTCGTCCACCCACGTCCACCCCAACGGTGTCGTTGTGCCAGGCAATCTGGATTCGAGCCCAGGTCAGAACAACGTCCCGCCTTTGCCATCCCTTCCCAGCCAGAATGTGGGTTCGGACAGCTCAGCGCCCAAGCGCAGGAGTACGCTGGGAGGTCGATTCTTCGGTCGGGGCGAAAAGGACAAGGGCAAGAATTGATGCACGCCATACTTGAGGATGCTTGTTTGCTGTTGCGTTATACCATCTTTGCATTGCGCGCTCGCATCAATTGTACCAGTACGCTGCTCGAGACGCCTGAAAACGAGTGCGCATCTGAGTCATCGGGCATGACCGGGTATAAGTAAATTGACATTGCGTCCGAGTCACCTGCCATCATAAAACACTCGAGTACGCTCGTTGAGCGAGAAGGGGCTGGTCTGCGTTGGAACGGGCGGACTGCCCGCCGGGCTGGCGGACGTAAAGGATCGCCAAAACGGTTTGATGATGAGCAGTGCCAGAGCGAGCATGATCAACAAGACGAGCAACAGGATGCACTGGCCTCTCGAGGTTCTGGATTGATAGCTGGTAGGTGCACGAGGGCGATCATCAGCGTCATCACGGCCCGCCAATACCTTCTGCTCTAGTGAAGGCTTTGTCGACGCTATCCAACCGTACTCGACTCACTGCTTTGCCTGATTCAGCTCCTTCACGCTCTCTTGCATATCACGACCCATGTTCTCAATGTTGTAATCTATCCTATCCAACATGGTGCCCTGATCGATTACGAGCGCGTTCAGATCCTGGAACAGCTCCGCCAGGTCCGTGATGGACTTGGCAATCTGATCTATCTCCCTATCCCTCGCTTGGATATCGGCTTCCGCCGAGACTTGCCCTTGAGTGCTCTTTGGTTGCTCTTCTTCTTGCATAAGGAGCTGTGATTGAGAATCCGACTGGGATGATTTTGAAAGGTGGGCTTGCGACTGTGCACATAGTGGCAGTCAGCCCAGCGGCGTCAATGCGAGGTATGTTTTTGCAGATGTGGAATCATGGAAGACGCACCATTTCGATGTCTTCTCTCAAAGCTTCCTCCTTCTCGCGCTTAGCGCCTAGTCCAGAGCCCTTGGTGATGCTCTTGTGCCTCTCCTCGATGCCTCTCATCCTCCTCATGTAGTCCGCTTGTCGCTTTCTGAAATCTGCGCTCATGTCCTGAACCCTGGTCGCTAGCGCTGTCTGCACATTGTGAGCCATGGACGCTTCCCGGGCAGACATTTGAGAAGCTGCAATCTGACGAGATGTCGCGCTTGCAAGCTGTCTGATCAGGGACGTCGCTCTGCGGAATTCCTGAGGAGGTTAGTAACAGCGGCAGGCGCGGGCGAGGTACAAAGGAGGGTCAGCGTGAAGCACTTGACAACAATCGATCTCTTCTTGCCATCGAAGCTTTTGCGCTCACCCTCGTGATGTCGACAGTTACACCCTCGATCTCTTGTTCCTCCTTGCTCCTGTCAGCGAAGCCTGGCAGCAAATGTTTGTTGTGAAGCTTGTCTAGTCTGTCTATCTTGGGTCTTACGCTGTTAAGCACAGCATCTACTTCGTCGGATGTGTCGACCCACTTGGGGGGCAGTGAAGAGGAGCCCACATCATCAGCTCCATAGCCGCTCCTTGGCGGGTAAGATGTCAAAGCTCCTTGCGCGTCGTAAAATGTTCCGACTTTGGTTCCTGAAGAAGAAGCGTCTCTTTGGGATTCGACATCTATAGAAGAGCTTTGTCCTGCCGCTCTGCTCATCGCGGAGCGCAGCAAGCCGTCGCTCTGACTATCCCACGACTCTCCTTCTCCTCCATATCCCAGCGAGCTCCTGTGCGAGCTGAACCCGCTGCCGCTTGGTCCTAGCGGTGCGGAGGATCGATAAGAGAGGAACAAGAGGGTGCGCGACCGGATCACTCCTACGGACTGGTCTTCCAGCTGAGCTGACCCTGCGCCCGACGCCGACCCAGATCCGCCCGCGAAGGGAGACGAAGTCCGACTCGTCAGATTGGACATGTTGCGAGCGGGGGCTCAAGCAAAGGCCGCCAAGTGCGCCGTGCCGCTGCTTGTATGCGTTCTAGTGTGCTGCCTGGAACGTGTCTCGAGCGCCAATGCAGCAGCAGCGTAGCTCACAAAAGGTCGGCTGGCCGTTCGGCTTCAAGACGCCTTCCCACAAGCGACAGAGGGATTGGTTGAAGTGGCAATGCTTGGAATGGAAAAGTCCAAAAGACTGTATGGCGCGGTTGACTGACGAAGCGGAGACATTCAGGATTTCACTTTAGAGTCAAAGCGTGAGTTCAAAGCGCTGTAGCCGTAAGTCACAGTCAGAGTCATCGTGAGTGGCTATAAACGTGAACCCGCGCTTGCTCGTGCACCACTGGACACGTGATCAAAGCTCGGATGATCAAGAGGCTGGAGAGGTCGATCACTAAAAACCCTTTGAATCAATCACAATCACAAATGAATGAATCACTCATCTCAAATTAAAAAACTGCTCTCGGCTTAAGGAACTTTCCCCCAAAGCCCTTGACGAATCCAACTCTTGGCTCAAGACCCGAGTCTTTTGAGTGTAAACATTGTAGCGCTGAAAAGTTTGACTCTTCTACAGCTCATCTGTCGTCAGGGCGAGGCTTTGAAGGCTCGAAAGCACCACTCTTCCCAGTGTCCGTGAAGACCTGACCCACTGACCCTGCTGTATAGTACATATGTATTCCGTTATGGGCTCCCCACAACTGAAGCGCTAGAAGCTCGGCCTTTCCCTCAAGCTTTCTTCTGGTTCGGCGCTCACATCTCTCCAGCCGAGCAGACGTTTCATATCGGCTGGCTCGAGTGGGCCTTCCACTTCTGGTTCCTCTAAAGCTCTGACGACAGCTTTGGCGACCGTGTCCACGTGCAACGGAGGAGTGGTAAGACCTCTCGCCAAAGCGGTGAAGTCCGGACCGGTACGGGAGCTCGATGTTGCGCTCGGCTTTTCGTGAGGGGAGGGCGGGGTGAAGATGGATAATGGAGAGCGAGGAGAGGAGAGGAAAGAGAGAATTCGAGATGGGGTGGGCACCCACGTGCCGAGTGTGTGCGCTTTGCCGTGCACTGCTGCCGACAAGTCTAGCAGTGCCGCAGGAAGCGTGGACAGCGGTCGGTTTGCTGGATGATACATTAGCCCTGCGGGATGGTGAAGATTGCGGATCAATTCCGACTGGCCGTGAAGGTGGCGATGCTCAGTGTTCTCACCTGGCCTCATGAAGATCGATCGCAAGCCAGCCAGCTGGGCAATCGCAGCCTCTGCTTCTCGTTTCGACCTGATGTACCCCTCCGGAATGATCGGACGGAAGTGATCAGCTGCCGAGATGAAGAGAAAGGGCGCTGGTGATTCGTTCGTTCCTCTTCTCCTTGTGGATGCAAAAGTGTTCGCAACGGTGACGGCTGAAAGGGATGAAGTGGACGAATTGAACATCAGTCGCGGACAAGGAGGGGCAAGGTTTATGCGTGAGACTCACCGAGATCGCGATTGATAGCATCATACTTGCTCCTCTTCAATGGGTTTGAGCCGCCCGCGCTTCCACCGGACCAAGCTCTGACAAGCTCCGCCGCTGCGTCTTTGGGCGTCTTGTACTCGCCCTCGAGCAGCCTTCCCACGGAATGCACGCACGCATCACTGCTGGCAGCTATCTCTTGCCATGTTTCGGGAGCCGCCGCATTGGCGGCATGCCACTTCATCTGCGGAGACTTTGCCCAGGCGGGTATGCGCCCCGAAGGAGCCACGAAGGGCGTGCCCGAAGAGCTGTTTGGACCAGGTTGCGAGGAATGGTCAGCGCCAGCAATTCAAGGTCCCGCATATCGTGTGCCAAACCCTGACTCACCTAATCGAGCTCACTTCCCAGCCCTTCGCAAGTGCTGCCTTGCAGATGGAGGAGCCTGGCCGAGCGTATCGTACTCAGCCTTTGAGGCCATCGGAAAGCTCAACGGATGCTGCTCACCTAGAAAGCCGTTTCCGCCCACCACAAGCAGCCGCATCATGGAGTTTGCTGTTAGTGGAGCACGGGCTGAGAGGAAGGTGCACGAAACCAGTATCGCTTTGCTGGGGTTCGGCCTGGACGAATGTCGATGTTCAGCTTCACGGTGCCAGGCGAATGCGCGCCAGCTAGATTAATCTCCAAGGTAAGAGCAGATCAAGTCCAGAAGCTGTCGCGACTCGGGCTCGAGTGGGATGTGAAGCCGGGGGGAAGCACCAGGCCTTCTTGGCGAGGTTGGGAGTCTTGAGTGAGGTCTGAAGTGATGAATTCACGAGGGGTGACAATCAGCCACAGTCATGAGTTCAGCCCTTGTTCTACCACGCAATTATTATTGAATCAGAATTCGATCTTGATCAGTCGTCAGTCAAGAGCCTTGAGTCAAAAGTCTCGAGTGGAGAGCTGCAGCGTGCGTCACGTGCATCTTGCCGGCTGCTGCTGATGAGCGCGTTGATTCGAAATCCACCGCGGCCAATCGCGAGAGAGCGCGCGCTGCTGCCGGGGCTGGCTTGGCTGAACGTATCGCCCAGGTCGTTGGTGAATGAGCCCTCACGCACGCCAGAATCGACCCGTCTCGCTTGACCAAGGCACACCACAACCAATCCGTCACGCTTAGCCGACCTTTACAAGTGTCGCAGCGATACGCCACCAAGTCGCATTGAAGAAAGATGTCCCTCGCTCGTACAATCGCAAACGCACGCAAGGCCGGCTTGTCAAAGTTCTGGCGAGACCTGCAGTACATTGGTGATGCAAAGGCAGGCACGCTCGTAGGGATCGATCGGTGAGCATTTAAATACACTTCCAGCATCACTGACGACCCCACGATGCTCACGTTTGCTGACGTGTCTGCCTTCAACTCGTGCCCGCGCAGCAATGGCAACAAGTACTACGAGGACCTGAACGAGATTCCGGGCAGACACAGATGGGTGGACTTTGCTCAGCACGATTTTGCCGTCTCTCAAATCGAACCAACTTGGAATGGCTGGCTGCACCACAACAAGCAAGATCCTCCTAATGTTGATCCTGTGACTATTGCGTCTCACCCCACTTGGGAAGCTGTGAGTACATGCGTCGCCTTAGCGACCTGCGTAGGGACAGGGAAGGCCGCAGGTTTAGGTTACAAGCGCTGGTGATGGTGGGTGCTCGTACACGTCGCAAAATGCTAGCAGAAGATGGAAATGACTACGTGATGCCATCGGCCTTTGGATCGAGTGCGCATGGTGGATACGGAGCCTGCTAGCTGCATCGCACATGCTTTCAGCGCAAAGACACAAAAGCTGACTTAGGCCAAGCTCTGCTGTCTGCTGCTGCCCCACGTTCTCCTCAGGACCCTACCGAGTCTACGACAGGGACGCGAGGCTCTTTCAGGACGTATAGCACCACGGTCTCTCCAAAGATTCAGTCTTGGAACCCCAAGGTGGCGTCGCGATCATGAAGGGCGTCAAGTCATAGCGCGCTACGTATGGCCTCAATCTACATTCTATCATCAGGCACGGCGTCAATACGATCAGACACAAAATATCTTGCGAAGGCGGCAACTGCTTTGCGCAATTGACGTTCTCGCGAAGCTTGGAGTGCTCGCAAGCCCAACCGCGTCCCTCGATTGCGATCAGAAGTCTCAGAGAGGTCTCACCAGCTTTGTATTGAGGCACAGACAACCCTTGACTTAGTTTCCGAGGGGCGGATGATGCTAACCAGGCGTGACTGCTCTCTGCTTCTTGCTAAATGCATCCTGATGATCTTTTGGTCTCAAAGGCGACCTTACTCAATACTCAAGACTTCAAACCCTTGAATCTTGGCTAGAGGAGGTTTGATTTGAATGCTTGATTCAAGATTGTGAAGTTGAGATTTGGCTTGTGCAGAGCCGACAGTATTGAATGGAGCATCTCCAAGCGATTGGCAGGGTTCAAGCATCAGACCCGAGTCTCAATCAAGAGTTACAGTCTTGAGCTTCAGTTCTATATGTGGAATTTTTAATGAAATGTAGTCAAGTTCGGGGTGTTTTCTGCGTGCGCGCTTCATTCGAAATACCACTTTTGATTGTGAATCTCAAGCGTGTCCTAAAACATTGAACATTACGCTCAACAATTTTGAATTTCAATTCGAACTTGAAAGCCGGCACATGGCCAGCATCCGCGCGCCGTGGCATCGCCGCGAGCTGCTGCTGCATGGCACGCGTGGCCATGCAAGCTTCCAGCAGAAAGATCAAGCTGCCGACTTCAATTTCAATGGAAGCAAGACTCGAGTTTGACTGAGCATACCTTCACCATCATCAGATCTGGCCCGTCGCACCTTCAAACCTGTCAGTTCGACCTAGTCCACTAGCTGCATCCACCATTCTACGGAGCGGCGCGACACGACCCAGCCCAACTTGTTGATTCCTGGGTGTGCTCTGGCATTCACTGCGTAGCTTACCGAGCACGTTTAGCAACAGTAGCAAGACATAGTGTCACGAGCATAGAGCTAGATGAGTAATGTTGCACCAAAAAGCGATACACTCGCAGATGTCCAGTCGGACGCTGCGCTGCAGAGCAGCGCCGAGAACGCATCGAGTCCGGACATGATCCGGGAGGCTGCTACGGCGAACGCCGGAACTCGAGCATCTACCTCAGGCACAAATGCTCAGCCGACAAGGCGAGCGGCACCCCGAACCCCACCTCGCATGGCAAGCCCAGCGAAAACCAAGCCAAGCACCTCTCCTCAGCAGCTCCGGCGGGTAGTTAGCCATGTATGGCACTCTCGTTCAGTAAGTCCGGTTCAGCGCTTGATTCCGGGACCAGGCCACCCTGACTTGGGCTCTCAAATCGATTGTGCCGCCCATCAGTCTCCTGCTGGCGAGCACGAGAAAGGAGACGGCCACAATGGTATTACCCAAAGAGCAAGATCAACTAGCCCTCGGGAAGCATCTCGAGACCCTACCCTGTCTCGGCCGCTTGCCGAGCGGTCACGCTCGCACCTCGATCAGCACTCTGCTGGGATGCGAAGAAGCCCTTCGAAGAGTACCACGAGTGAGGAAGAAGGTGCAATCGACGAGAATGAAGTGAGTTATTCTTCAGATCCGGGTTGTCCGGTTGTCGTTGCGAAGCTCCTCCTAACCGGCTCAACCCAACTAGCACGCTCAGCCTGCGTCCCAGCCCGCCCCGACTCACGCTTCGCATCGACAATCGGTCGGCGGCGAGCGCAGTCAAGATTCACAGAGTGGTAACAGCTGGGTGCAGGGGTCTCGGGATGACTCGTGGGGGTCGCACACCGGCTCCTATGCGGCTATCCGAAGGGAGTCCCGCGATCGGTACTCGCCGGTGAGCTCTCAACCTGCGCCTCCACGCAGACCGCCGCGCACAAGCGATACTTATAGACCGGGAAAGTTGAGCGGGCGCTCAGCGGGCCTGCGTATCGACAGTTCCAGAAGAGATCCTTACGATGATTGGGAGCGCGATCGCCTTCGCGAACGGGAGTGGGATCGGGATCGGGAGAGGGACTGGGAGCGAGACAGAGACAGAGACAGGGAATGGTCGCGATCCAGCATTCGACATCGTGAACACCGCGATTCTCTGTCTGCGCTAGAGGAGCGAGACCGTTTGCGAGAGCGGGATAGGGACCGCTGGGGAGGGCTCAGCGATCGGTCTGCTGCTCTGCACTCACCATCGACCTCGACAAGAGCTTATCCGAATCCCAATGCTGTGTCTGCTGGCGGGATGGGTAAGCCTGCCATGCGGTCCTGGGGGTCTGGTTCCGTGGCGTCTGGCGCTCGCTCAGATCCGTCATCACCCACCACGCCACGACGAGCCGAGCGAGACTCGCAAGGCACGTACAAGCACACCAGCGATGGCCGGACCCATGAAAGAGACGGCGCAAGCACCCGCGAGCGAGACCGCGAATCTCTCTCCCGAACAGGAGGGTCACGGACCACCTCGGAGCAGCCGGAAGTCCTCACCCCTTCGGCCGCAGATTCTCAATCACAAGCTGTTTCGCGCGAAGCGCCAGACATGACCCGGCGAACACCTCCGCGAACAATCAAGCGGGAAGTCGAGACCCCTTCGCGCCATCTGCGTGCTGAAGATTCGGCACAGAGTCAGGATGCACGAGTCAACATAGCGGGTGTCTCGTCGCAGGATGTCGGCGAGCAAGACCGCCACATACCACCACCAGCAGTTCGACCCAAAGCGCAATCATCTGACACTGAGGGACATGCAGCATCTGGCGGCCAAACGGGCAGTCAGACAGATGCGAGGCAGCTTGAGCAACTGCCCGAGAGCCTGGGCGTCCCTGTCGAGTCTTCAACGCAAGGATCACGCGATGCTAAGAGCGCGGAGGCAGCAGCGGAGCAGAGGCCCATGGCTCAGAAATCGGACGAAGCAAAGCCCATCACAAGCACTATCACGACCGAGCCTCCTCATCGCGGCGTCACACCAGCGCTGCTTGAGTCGTCTAGCTCAGTGGTGTCCTTGCCTGTCGAGGCAGGGAATCCCGAGACGTCCACTTCCACTGAGGCTTCCAAAGACAAGGATTTGCAGCTATCAGCCATTAGCGCACTCTCTCAACAGCTTCTGCGCACTTCGGAAAAAGCTCTCGCTTCGCCAGACGTGCCGACGCCTGCTCTTTCTGCTGGCTCCAATCTACCCGCTGCAGCGCCGACCGAAGCCGAAACACCGACTCCGCTGAAACAAGCTGTGGCTGCGCCAGCCAGCGGTCCAACTGCAGCAGAGGATCTTGCTGCCATGGCCAGGTACACGCAGCAAGAAAACATCGACCAGCGAATCACGACACGGCAAATTGCTTTGGACACTCCTCTGCCTCGTGATGTCCAGACCGCTCCCGACGTCAAACCCGAGACAGACGACGCCATGGATGTTGATGCCCCGACAATTCCAGCAGCCGTTGCTGCTCCAATCGAGGAACAGAGCGAAAGAGCTCAGGTCGTAGACACTCCGGTAACGCAGGTGCCTTCCGCTGGCGGCGTCTCACTTGCAGCTCAGATCGCCGCTGCCGAAGAGAAAGCGCCGGTCAGTGAAGGCACCGCCACGGTGTCGGCCGCAGAGCTGACCAGTGAGGCTGCACGAGAGGACGCAGGCATGTTTCGAGACGTAGACATGGTCGATGACTCAAATCTGAAACCCAGCGAGCGCGGAGAGGTCTCCCTTCACCTCAACATACATCCCCCAGATTCGAGCATTGCAACAGACGTCCAAAGTCTTCCCCTGCTGACCCCACGGACGCAAAGAGCTCGAGAGGAGATCATCAAGGAGACACGCATGCACTTGTTTGGTTTGTTCAAGCCAGATGAGGCTTGGATCACCAGCATGGAGCGCAGCAACAAGAGGCTCGCCTCCCAGACGACGAAAAGCGTAATCAAATCTGCGGTGTATGGCGCTCCCCGCGAGATGAAGCAGGACCAATGGATGGACGAGCAGGACCCAGAGGCAGAGAGGACACGCGCAAGATTGATGACGCAACTGCTTAGCAAGAAGCGACGTTTCATTGCAAAACTCGAGGGTCTACGGCAACAGTACAAGGCTCTAGATGACGACTGGCAGAGGCATTGCGCACGACTGAACCGCCTCGCAGAGTCGCGCGAAGTCAGCCGTCGTCCAATGATGCAAATGTCTACCAGCACCCCGGTCGTGGGCTCTGCTGCGCCGAGCGCTGCAGCGGGCGCGGAGGACTCCAGTGCCGCTCTCCTGACACCGATGGCACTCGGCGCCGCGGTCGGCCGTGCGAATCGGCGCAGCAATCAGGGTGCCTTTCCCGGTTTCGGTGATGCTGTCCGCTCCGAAGCAGAATTTCTGGAAATTTTGGCGTCGTTGGAGAGCGCCGACATGCAAGACCCAAATATGCGGGCTGCGCGGACCACAGCCACCGCCCCTGACATGCTCATCGATCCGGACAGTCACCTGCGCGCACCGCAAAGCGCGGCTCCCTTGCGACTTGAAAGCGACTTTGATGACGATAATGGATTCGTAAAGGATCCCGTCGCATTTTTCTTGTCAGACTTTGATCCAGACTTTTGGTCCGAGGAGGAGAAAATTACGTTCGAGAAGCGCTACCTCCTTTTTCCCAAGCAATTTGGAAAGATCGCTGCGGCGCTGCCAGACAAGACACCTTCTCAGTGTGTGCGCTACTACTACCTCACAAAGAAGCTGCCAGGACACGAGTACAAAGCGATGAGTGCTGCCAGAAATAGGGAGCGAAAACGAAAGGCAAAGTTCAAGCCAAGGAAAGCTAAGGGCAGCGCTCTCATGGCGGACCTCAAGTCGGCAGCAGGCGATGAGTTGGAGGAGGAGGATGCCGGTGCCTCGCCGCTCGATACGCAAGACCTCGGAAGGAGAAGGTCAAGGATGCTGACCAGCTCGATGGACAAGCAAATTTCGACTATCGCAGAGGAGGACGAAGACAGTGCTAGTCGCAAGAGAGTTAATGAGGAAGATGGTCAGGGCAGCGCCGTGGAGCGAGAGGAGAAGCGAGGCCGGAAAGGCGCCAAAAGAGGGCGCAAACCCGGCAAAAGCTCTGTCAACGCTTCAGCAGCGCTTGTTGCCACTCCAAACTCGGAGACTGCTGAGGATTCGTTGCTCGGCATCGCTGCAGACCCTGTGACGCTGGGCGAAGGCTTGGCTGCAGCAGCTTCCGCGACGAAAGCAAAGAAGCGGCGCACAAAGACTCAAATAAGCGGCGTCGGTTCTGGTACGCCAGGAACCCCGACGGAGACCACTGGTCCGGCGTTGCCGCTTGACGAGGCGACCAAGCGCGCCAGGCAGCCCACATCATCGTACTGGTCAGTGGCAGAGCGCAACGAGTTTCTTCGATCGCTGGCCATCAAGGGCAAGGATTGGGATGCAGTTGCGGAGGGTCTAAGCAACAAGTCTGCTGCTCAAGCCCGCAACTTTTTCCAGAGAAACTCGGTCGAAGCCGATTTTGCTGAAGCCGCCGCTATTGCAGAGCAAAATGCCGATCTCCCACTGCAAGCGAGGGAAGAAGCGGCCAATGTCTTGGCTTTACGACGCAAGGGAGCAGAGGCTGACGCGCCGAAAGGGGGAACATTTTCTGGACCAGGCGGCATGTCTCTTGACTCGTCTGTGGACGCAGGACCTCGCGGACTGCGCATCAACAGCCTACTGAATGACGAACCATCCGATCGAAGCTCGCCAAGCACGAGTCGGCGTCCCTCAGTACCTGATTGGTTCAGAAGCACTCAAGAGGGAAATGGCGAGCAACACTTGCCGCACGACACCGACGCGCAGGAGAGACTTAGGTCCAGCGCAAGCGGTGTTGGTGGTCCTCGCCAATCTGCGCACGAAACGCCTATCTACGTGCACCAACAACAGCAGTGGGAAAGGACCCCGCTTGCGTCACGAGCAGAGGCGCCCAACACGACTTTCGATGCTGGAGAGCGCGTCCAAGGTCCTCTTAGCATGCATTTCAATCATCAGAACGATCCGGCAGCGCATTCCGACATTTACTCGAGGCACAGCCCACTGCCATCGCCTGCTGTCCAGCGCTCAAGCGCGATGCCGCCCCCGTCGTCGTACACTTCGTCTTCGAGCCAGCGTCCGGGCAATCCATATGCAGCGAATTCGCGCGCCCCTCGACCGTACGACCAAGAGTCGAGCTTCCAGCGAAGCTCCACCATGAGCGATATCAGAGCCTCTCATCTTGCTGAGCGCCCTTCTGTAAGATCCTCGCTCTTGCAAGAGTCAGGAAGCCGCAGCGGCTTCTTGCACAACCGAGAAGTGGAGCAATCCCAACCTGTGCGTCCGGAACTGCAGCATCACAGTCTGAGCGAGGGTCGCCTCGGCCCGGGGTCTCAAAGCACAAGTTCTGTCAGCGCATACGGCCGATCACCCTCTGCAAATTCGTACAGCGCATCGCCGAGTGCGCAGAGACCTTTGTCGGTCGCGGGATGGCACGATGCGACAGCAGGGGGATCACACGCGTACGATAGACGGGATGAGCGCTCGCGACTACCAGCTCGAGAAGAGTACGGACGCGGAGATGTGAGACCGCAGTCGTGGTCTTCATCCATCCTGAATCCACAGACGAGACCCACCTCGGACCTGCGACACGATTCTGCATCGCCATATGCCTCTCACTCGCCGGCCATCAGAGAAGCAGCGCCTGTCAGCCATCGCTCAATGTCTGCTTCGCCAGCTTACTTGCAGCCTCACAGCGCGTACAGCGCCAGCAATGCTGCTGGTGCCTCATCTGCCAACAGTGTGCACCGCGCACCCTCGCCGCTCAGCCGACCGCTGAGTGCGCACGACTCCCGCCCGATTCCTGCCGCCCCGTTATCAACGCGGCAATCCCCCACGATGTCGACCGCAGGGGCTTACGCGTATCCTACTCAGCAACAACGGGGCGAGATGCACCGCTCGTCACCTCAATTGCTACATCCAGAAGCTCGCCTGGAACGACCGACACTTCCTTCGCCGTCCGGCATGCCTCATGCGCAAAGGGGCCCTCCCGGCTCACAGCAGTATACGCATTCCTATCGTCCTCCCTCCTCTCGTCGATAATGGAGCTATGTAGAGTACATGTAATACAATAATGGTGATGTAGAATCAATGGTCATCACATCGAGTGGCCTGCGTGGTCAACTACATGCCCACAAGTTTTGAGTCTTGCATCCCGTTGCTCTTGAAGAAAAACGAGTCTTTGGCTGATCTGGGAGGGGTTATCAGATCAGCCAAGCAAGGAGATGTGCGCCTTGCTTCGCTGAGCATGCAACAGAGCGGTCACGGAGGCCTGCCCGGTGGGCTTAGCATCAATGAATCTTGCTATGGCCATGGAGAAGCTGCCATACTGCCGTAGCCAGAGTCTACACTGGTGGTCGCCCCCCTTTGAGGTAACTCAGACCATCTCGCCACTCTTGACTCCCTAATGATCAAGAATGTCCATCAGGCCTTGAAGGTCAAGCGAAGTAGGATTTCAATCTTTCTCTAACGCGGCACCGTCATCTTTGATTCAAAACTTGGAATCAAAATCCATGTTTTCGAGGTCTTAATGAAACGTCACGTGCACGTTGTATGCTGCGCGTAAATTCATTCATGATTTCACTCGCCAATCAAGAATTCAATGTGAATCTTGCAGGACAGCCTGCATCGGTGTTGCGAGCCGGTTACCACCTTTTGTCCATTTTAGACCATGATCATCACCAACTTGACGCTCTCGAACAAGTGCATGCCCTGCGCAGCTCAAAGAGTGAGAGCCCACTTGCACACTCAACGCTAGGCTGGCAAAGAACAGTCGCATGCCAGAAATGTCCGCGTAGCTGGCGATCAGCTTTGAGCGGACAACGCACGAGGCCGCCATGTCGCGCTTTGTCTGGACAGCACATCAGCGTGACGGGGAGTCCCCAGTCTACACCGCGTCTTGGCCCGACAGCCACACAAGCACTGGTCAGGAAAAGTTTGAGCATATGGCACAGGATGCGACGTTCGACTCGCCTCATGTGGCGTTGATGTGCAATCGCCTTGACCAGCGAAAACTCTTACGGGCCACGTCTCCACGCTGCTCGCACACCGTCGAGGACCTTGACGCAAGTTGTATCGAGCATTACCGAGAGCGACTTCGCTTCGCCTCTCGCATCTCTACGACTACCAGCGGCTTTCCTAGGGAAGTCCAAGGCGATCACCTTTCTGGAATCTGTTGCTCGCCTCTCAACCTCGTGGATTCGGCGGCCAAGCGTATGGGTGCCCAGATTGATGATTGCCATGGCGTCTGGACGTTTGAACAGACGCGTGGCGAATCGCGCTTCGATAAGATTGGCCTTCGCACCTGGACGAACGAGTCCGCACTGTGTGGCCTGCTGGCGTCGATGTTAAGCGTCGCCAGCAATGCTTTCAACGCGCTGCCAGTCGGGGCCGGCGAGGCATCCGGACCATCCAACGCCTCGTCCGCTCGGAGGCACGTTGTCTGGGTTGGAGAAGATTTCACGGATTTGCCGCCGTCTCCAGCCTTCGCGAAGGAAATCAGTAGAACGAGAGCAGATGCCAAATGGGACTTCGCCTTGTTCAGCTATTCGATAGTGGAGGGGAACGCAACAGATTGTCAAGGTGAGCCTCAGAAAGACCCGCAGTATAGGGGCACGCTCGTGTCCCCACACGATAGAGCGACGCAGCCGCAAATCTGACCCATTGACATGATTGATTCCTACCTACTATCTGATTTGGCTTTCAGACGTGCGCATAATTGCAGTTATGGAAGTCAAACGATACATTTCCCTTGAGACGCTGGCTGGTATAGTGGCGCTGGGCTCGGGCGGGTCCAAACCACCAGAAGTCTTAGGAGGATCAAAAGCATCGGCGTCTGCGCGGCTCTTGGCACAGCTAGTCGAATACTGCATGGGCACTGGCGCAAGGACAGGTGTCATCTTCAGTGGAGCCTATCTCCTAGTGGTCGACATGGATGGCACAAACAAGCCGCGCATCACTGTACGGACGCCATCCGTGGCACCTGCGTGTGGGCCTATTCTCGAGACGCCAAGCCGAAGTGGCAACGACCTAGAGACTCGCTACAACCTGCCTTGCACGCTGTTGGCTCTCATGACGCACGCGCTGGAGCGTGCAGAACGCTTAGGCCAAAGACCCATTCTCCAAAAGCATGTACTTGATGAGAATTCGGATGCAGATTACAAGCATGTGGAGAGCTCAGGCAGCAGCCAAGACCGACCGTCGAGCCGTCAGCTGCGCTCTCACACGCGTCGCGTACGATCTCGACCAACTCCGCGCGGTAGCGCTCAAGGTCTGCTCGATGAGGCCAAATCTCGTCCCGACGTCGAGCTCAGAGGTCTACCCATTGGGGGAGGTGCGTGCGCCAGGGTCTACCGAGCCTACGTGCTCTCGGGTCAAATTATGCCTACGTCTTCTGGCACCACGCTCCTTGCAAAGGTGTACTGGCTTCGTGGACAATCGTACCAGCATTACGAGGACACGTTTCATCCTGTGGCACTTCATGAGGCGCGCATCTATAGGGCCTTGGAGGTACTGCAAGGGGAGAGCGTGCCGCACGTTGTTGGGATACTCACACGGGGTGCTGGAACTGAGCAACAGCTGCAGCAATGGTGCGATGACAGCACTTTTGCTGTCACTAGCGCTGTGACGCCACGAGCCCCCCTACCTGAGGCAGACATTGACACGCCACCCCTGAGAGCGTCACGTGGTTCGGACAAGGACAAGGCCTCTATCAAGCTCTGCCCTACTCCTCCTCGGCAAGTGCTCGGACTCGTGCTTACGGATGCTGGTAAGACTCTGGCAGAAATGTCCTACAAGGATTTGATTCAGCTTGCTCAGAGCGTCGAAGCGGATGTTGAGGTTTCGGTGGGCTCGATGGCTGCTGCTCTGAAGGAGGCGTTTCTACGCTCAGCACGGTCCATCCATGCAGCTGGCGTGCTGCACTGCGACATTCGAGCCGCGAACATGTGCGTGGCAGTGGAGCAAGGCAAGTTGCGATGTCGTTTCATCGACTTTCACCTGGCCACTTTTGCAGATCCACAAAAGGATGGGAAACACTTTGGCAACGAGCTGCAACGTGTCGAGGAGGTCGTCGATGATAGTCTTTCCAACATCTTGAGCGCGTAGACGCCATGATTACACGAGTAAAAATACACTTCCGCCTGCTTGTACAATTTTCAACAAAGCGTCACAGTCTCTATCGCACCCAAGCGCCACCTTCAATACTGAGTAGAACACCGCAAAAACAAAGACTATGTAGCACCACAACAACAACTTGTAGCACCACAACAACAACTTGTAGCACCACAACAACAACTTTCAATCGTCATCCAATTTCACCTGCGAGGATGCGTCGCATGGGTTTGTCATGCAATCCGCTGGCCTTGTCTAGCACCACAATTTTATCTGCGATGGACATTTGCCACTCTTCGCCCGCCGAGTCTTTTCATACGATATGAGCTCCATTCGTTGCGCCTGGGCATGCAAGCCTCCTTTTCGAAGCGCTACGCGTAGACGCGAACGGTCTTCTTATGCTCTGCTTGGTGGCTTTGCTGATCAGCTGCAGCTCATCAATGCTCGGACTCGGGTCATGTCAGGGTGTGGCTGAATCGGCGCCCACCGTAGACTCACACTGCGCTGCCTAAGCTAGCCAGCCACTATATGCTCGTTGTCGACCCTGCGGCTCGGAGATGTAAGGACCGCAGCCGTTGCTGTGCGTCGTCGTCCTGACCTCCACTCGCAGACGACTTGGTGCCATGTTGAATGGGTCATCACAGATGCCTGGTGTGACGAGCCTCCACCTCTCTTGCTGAGCCAAGCTGCAGTCCGCAGGTATTCACGGTGCACTCACGTCGAAGCTCTGCGACTGTGGAGTGTGGGTCGCGGTCACACGACGATGCGTCGGACATAGACGCTGACTTTTTCCAGGGCTGCGTATTTTTTGAGTCTCAGAGAGATGCGTGCCTGCGATAATCGACCGAAGTTCTTCCGCGCTTCTCAAGCCACCTTTTTCTCCGCATGGACGCTTTGTCAGCTCAGCTCAGGTGTGACGGCTTGACTTCTTGCTGGGTGGCGTCAAGCTTACATGCAGTCTAGCCTGAATACCAGTCCGTCGTGAAGTCTCTCCGCCTGATCAAGGGATGGGCGGATCTTCACGTCGACGCAATCACTCTTCGTTGCGAGACAGCGAGGCAGCGAGGCAGCGAGGCAAGGCGGCGTTTCTGCCGCAAGGGCAGAGGCCGAGCGAGCGCCTTGCTCGCGTGCTTAATTATTGTCGCACACCGGTTAAGTATCTGCTTACGTTTGTCAGGCGATCATCAGAGTAGACAGGCCAAGCACCTGGGTCACATATATGCACTCGATTGCGGATGGGAAGGAAACGAGAAGAAATTATTCCGGCCTCGTGCCAGCAGCTGTGATGATGAACCTTGTCGCCCCACACCGAAGCCGCATCTGTGAGGTTCGTCCGAATCGACGCGCTAATGCAAAGGTCCACGCTCAGCTGCAGCTTTCCTCCGGCTCAGGTGAATCCGGAGGCAACCACCAAGTCTGACCCGTCACGAAAGTAAATGAGTGCACGTTTGTGCACCTGCATGCTGAGCCAGCACGCAAGCAGGGCCGTCTTGCCTTGCTGAAGTCTGCTTGTCTCCCTCGAAAGTCTATAGATCGTTGCCGCGGTACATCTCGCAATGCATGTCTGTCTGGACGACCTTTGGGTGGTCGAACGCCATGCAGAATCAAAATCTTGAATGTCACGGTCGCCGAGCGACGATTCAAATGCTAAATACAAGTTGCGGATCGTCAGCGAATCAACATGAACAAAGTCCTTTCCGAAACCCTATGCGACGACATAAGCGATATCGAAAATTTGAAAGGACGGGCATGCAGCGATTCGCTTTGCAGCTTAAGTGGCCTGTTGGCAATTCACCGTCATTGGTTTGACAGCTTCCGCACTCCTGCCGCTTGCTGATTGAAATGCTTGAATGTTCGGGATGAGGTCGTGCGTGTGACTGATTGCGTTTGGCATATCTGTATGCGACAAGGACTACAGGTCGTGACGTGGATGATAACCAGTCGTGACGCGCGAATACATCGATGGACAGCCTAGGCCAAGCTGCAATAGCCGTCCCCACAAAGAGTCTGCGAACTTGGCCAAGCTAGAAGCGGGCCCAGGAGTGGCGCCGTGGAGCCCCACAAGAAGATGGTAAGCTTTGTCAGAGCACAGGAAGAAGCCACAGCGACCATGCGTCCCCGTCCCATTCCCATTCCCATTCCCTGCTCGTGTGCTCCAGCACGAACAGCACTGCTATACTACTCTACTATTACTACTATACGCACAAGCCCGTTTTGTTGGGGTCAAGAAGAATCGCGCTAGTGTACACCAGAGTAAAGCTAGGCTAGAGCGACTGCTCTGAGCGTGCTCACGACCGCACATACTCGCTCATTGCGTTTTCTTTCTGATGCTGCTGGGCGAGTGCGCTTGTTTCTTTTGCTGGCACCTACTGAGCGTGGAGCCCCGCAGCAGGAGCAAGGCTATTTGGCGCACAAATTGCCATTTTCAGGGGCAGACATTTTCTGTTTTCTCTCGGCGTGCGCAGCCACGAATGTAGGAACACTTAGATGCTGGTTAAATGCCTTGGTCGACTTGGTGAGCTTGAGCAGCAGCAGCAGTGCGCGGATCTGCGGAGTCAGACCAGGTCTCGGTCATGGCTCGGCGCGGGCCGGCCTTACATTAGTCTCAGGTGAGAAAACGCGGACAGGCGGGCGTTTGCAGATCTGCGCAAATTCGCACAGTGTGCTGCAAGTGCTGCTGTGTATAGGCAACCGCCGTGCGCGGCATCGCATTTGCCGCGCGAGAGCCCGCGGCCAGACCGCCGCGATAGCCCGCCGCGCTCGCGCCAATTTTCGCGTCCACTCGCATTGTGGGCCCTTCTGCTCGTACTGCCTTCCAGCATTAATTTGCTGCCCCTTGCGAGTCACGAATGTGGCTATTTCCTGCTGCCGTACCCCCGCAAAGTCTGGATTTGATGTTGGGCCGCTTGCGCTCCATCTCAAGGCTCTGATGCCCAGAGCTGCAAGGTGTTGGCGAAAGAGAGGTTCCTGCGTGAGGGGAAAGAAGCGAGGACGTTCGCGGAAGGGCGAGCCGCACAATGTGGGGGTAGGGCCGGGGCAGGGTAAATCACAATGGCAATCTATTTTCGCGTCTAACGGTCGTTGCACGGTTCCAGCTGGGGAAGCTTCCTCGTCTATAAATGGAGCCATTTCATCGTCATAGTGAGCTCCCCCATTTCTGTGTGCAGCACCACATCTTCTCAGCTCAGCCAGTCCTCCTCTCACTTCTCTTGACCCCTCGCCCATCCCCCTTGAGCATCACCTCGAGGTCTCCTAGTCGCTCTCCGCCCAACAACATTACACTCACAGCCTCCCCGCGAATCTTGCCAACATGCCAGGTGGTGGTGTTGTCCCCGTTTTGACGACCAATGCTGGTCCCATTATCAAGCCCAAGACGAAGAAGCAGGCCATCCGCGCCGTCTTGGCCTCCAGCTTCATGGCCATGGGAGGGTGAGTAGAGATGCGCAGTCGGTGCGAGATGACAACATGACTGACGCGCAGCACCACTTTGGAACGCTTCCAGTATCCTGTTCGGCTACGACACTGGAACCATCTCCGGTATCATTGCCATGGAGAAGTTCAAGCAAGACTTTGGTACTTATTACGACGTCAATGTGCCCACCAACACCACGCCGATTCCTCAGCCAGGGTGGTCTCTCTCCACCGGAGACACTTCGCTTGTGGTCAGCATCCTGTCTGCAGGTACCTTTGTCGGAGCTCTCTGCGGCGCGCCTATCGCCGACACTCTCGGCCGTCGATGGGGTCTTCAAGTGGCCATGGTCGTCTTTTGCGTCGGTGTCATTCTTCAGCTGATTGCTCAGGCGCTGCCTCTCTTCATCGTGGGAAGAGTCGTCGCCGGTCTGGGTGTCGGTATCGTCTCTACCATTGTTCCCATGTTCCAAGCCGAGACGGCTCCTCGCTGGGCACGTGGCGCCGTCACCTCTGGTTACCAGTGGGCCATCACCATCGGTCTTCTCTTTGCTGCGCTCGCCAACAACGGCACGAAAGACAGGACGGACACTGGCTCCTACCGCATTCCTATCGGTGTTCAGCTCGGCTTTGCCTTGATTCTCAGCTTTGGTACCATGCTCCTTCCCGAGTCTCCTCGTTGGTTCGTCAAGAAGGGCAAGATCGAGCAAGCCGCCAAGAGCCTTGCCACCCTCAACGCCACCGACGTGGACGACGCTTGCGTGCAAGCCGAGCTTGCTGACATTCGCACCAATCTCGAAGTTGAGCTCACCCACGGAAACGGCTCCTACCTCGACTGCTTCCGCAACAACGACCGCAAGAACCTCACGCGTACGCTTGTCGGCACATGGCTCCAAGCATGGCAACAATTGACTGGTATCAACTTCATCTTCTACTACGGCACCCAATTCTTCAACAGCACTGGTGCTGGTGACCCCTTCGTCTTCACCATCGTCTCCAATGTCGTCAATGTCGTCTGCACCGTTCCCGGTATCTGGGCCATGGACCGCGTGGGCCGTCGTAACATTCTCGTCTGGGGTGCAGTCTGGATGGCCATCATGGAAGGCATCGTCGCAATCATCGGCACCGTCTTTGGAAACTCCAACCCTGCGGCTCAACGAGGTCTCGTCGCCCTCGTCTGCCTCTACGTCGGTGGTTTCGCCAGCACCTGGGGACCAGCTGCTTGGGTCGTCTGTGGTGAAATCTTCCCTCTCGCCATTCGTGCCAAGGCTCTTTCGCTTTGCACCGCTTCGAATTGGCTTTGGAACTTTGGAATTGGATACGCCACCCCTTACCTCGTCGACAGCGGACCTGGCAAGGCCGGCCTGGGACCCAAAGTCTTCTGGATCTGGACCGCCACCTGCGCCATGTCTGCCGTCTTTGCCTACTTTTGCATCGTGGAGACGAAGGGTCTCTCTCTCGAGGAAGTCGACAGTCTCTACTGCACCACCTCCCCTCGTCTCTCTGCTGCCGCCAACAGAGAGATGCGCGCCAGGCGCTCCGACCTCGAGACCGTCGGTGCTCACATGGTCAGCGACGAGGCTGCCGAGGCCGACGCTGCCAAGCGCGACGTCGAGTACGAGTCCAAGACCGTGGACGCTTAAAATGCGAACGCGCTCAACGTGTTCGTCGACTGCGACAACTACAATGCAACCATTCCTCCCCCCTCCTTCAAAAAACACGACCTGTCACGAATACCGCTTTGTGCTCGCTACCCCATACCTGTCACGTCTCTTGCTATTCCTGTCACGATTGAAAATTTGGATGTTGTACGCTTCGCCTGTGTGTTGGTGCGCTGAATTTTGAGGCGTGGTAATCATTCGGATGCGCTTCGCAAATTTCGCCCCGGGACGTGTCATGAAGGCGACGTTGAAGCTGCTGATATGAAGCAGCTCCCTGAAGTCCGACGCACCCCCTTTGCCCTCGGATGCAAGTCCGTGGGCCAGGCTTTTACATCGCTTACTTGCTGTTGCTTGTACTGTGCCTGAATCGCGGTGCTAGCTGGCCTGGCCGCGATGCTTTTGAGAGCCACATGGCCCCGACGTCTGCACTCGCTCGCATTTCGAAGGTCGGTGCGACAGCTGGCCAATTCTTCAAGAATCCGAGGGCAGCTTGACATAGTTGGTGTGTCCATGCCGGCGGCTGATTCCGACGCCGGCGTTGATGTGCCGACAAGGCGATGGCGACATTTGTGGCTCATACCGTCACTTGGACGCGTGCTGGTTGCAGTTGTGCAGCGCCTTTGCGTGCGGTCTGCACAGCCAAGAGGATTCGGTCGAAGCAGGTAAATAATGTACACTAGCGCCAAGACGAAGGAAGGGCTTTGCTAGGGTACAGTACAGTGGTCAGAACGCCAGACTTGGCAGTGTCGAAGGACCCACGACGAGATCTCCTCTTGCTGCATGCTGAACGACTTGATTTGAAAAGACCTGTGCTTCTCTTTCGCTTGCCAAGCGCCTTCGACCCATTCCCATGGCATCGCAATATTGCGATAAGCACGTCCCTCGTCCTGTAGCGCCCTCGCCTCTCGAATGGTTTCCCTTTCTCTCTTTGCTCGACTAGCTCTGCTGGATGTCGTGATTGAGAGGCCCTTTTGCCGGCCCTTCTTACTCCGTCCGGCGGCGGAAGCGCGAATCTGCACGCAGTCACGCAGTCACGCGGCTTCGCGCCGGCGGCAAGCGGTGTAGACTGCTAGAGTGCCCTCAAACGGTTAGCTTGGACGCAGAAGCAAGCTCGAGACTTAATACGAATAATGAATCTCTGATGACTGCGATTTCACGCACGCGCGATCACGCCATCGTAACCATTAGCGCCCTTCTTCCTCACGTCCGCAACCATTCGTGATTGTGAATGCCTCTGCATGGCTGGCCGTCGTTTGCTCCGAAGGGCGCCATCGCCGTTCGAGCCTGCGGCAACTTCAAATGATGGCCCGATGAGCTCTCACAAGACTAGCTGCTGCTTAATTGCTGTTGATGCATGTCTTTGCCACAAGTCGCTCGGAGATGGCGCCGACATGCCCGTCAGCTTTGTTGGGCATCAGGTTAACTGTCGTGGGGGTGGGTGGTGGTGGACTGCGTACACGAACGGATTCACGCTTCTTATCTGGCTTGGATGATTCGGCAAGGCTTTGCCCTGCGTGCGCACCTCGTGCTCGCCATGCCAATGAGCAAGCTGAACCCTGCGCCCATCGTCTTGTCAAGGAGAGGCATATCCTGTGCCTGACTCGAAGCTGACCGAAAGCTTGCGCCACGGCAATCTCTGCGAACGGCAAGACCGCGTCGCGTGTGAACGAAGCACGCCATTCGCAACTTCGGCCCCATCTCACAAGCAACGCTGAAGGTCTTGCCTGCAAAAGGTCCCCTGAAAAAGATTCATAAACGAGCCGCACTGGCAAGCCACATTTAGCGAAGTCTTCCGTCATCATTCTTGCCCCCGTACCATCCTGATCAAGCATACGCAAAATGGTCCTTCGTCGCAAAGCCCAACCTGCCTCCGTTTCGGAAGGCGCAGAAGAGATCAACGAAACCACTGCGATTGAGACGGATCCAATTGCAGAACTCAAGAAAGATGACGACGGACCAATTACACCGTCCTCCCCTTCGGAGAAAGGCATCGAGGAGAAGACGTCCCACGAACTGGAGATCGACGAGGCCCAAGCCGGACTCCGCGAACTCGATGGATCCGAAGGCGTCACCAAGATTTCGGATCAAGTCATTCGCGACGGTCAGTATGAGAAACGCGCATCTAGGCTGCGATGAGGGCGACTTGCTCTGGCGCTTTTACCTGATGCGGCACCATTCGCTGATCATCACCAGCTTCTCCTATTCATGTCAGGTGCCGATGTGTCCAGAATAGCAGTCTCGACTCGTGACGACGGAGACCCGGCCCTCACCTTCCGCTCGGTGGTACTTGGCTCAGTCCTTGCCGCGTTCAGCTCTGTAGTCACCGTCTTCTATTTGTTTAAGCCTGTCCAGATCAGTATCAGCACCGTCTTTCTTCAACTCGTGGCATATGTACTGGGCCTTGGTTGGGCCAAGTTGACCCCGTCAGCCGAGCGCCTCGAAAGAGTCTCACCACGACTCGGCGCTGTCGCACGCTTCTTCAATCTGGGTCAGCCATTTGGGCTCAAAGAGCATGTCGTTGCCACCCTGATCGGTAGCTGCGCCAACAACTCGTAAGTACGAGCGATGAAAGTGATAGCGATGGAATGGATAGGATCTGACACGTGTTCGTCCATACCGTTTGTCGTTCTGCATCAAAGACTTGCAGGTGTCGAAGTAGCCATAGTGCAAAGACTCTTTTACCCACAGAGCTCGCTGGACACCACCACCGTTCTATTCGGTCTGTTTTCCATTTCCATCATCGGCTTCGTGATTGCTGGCGTACTCCGTCCGCTCATCGTCTATCCGGCAGAGATGGTCTATTGGACGCAATTGCCACAAATTTCACTGATGCAGAGTCTTCACTATGACGTCGCAAAAAACAAGAAACGCCTCACCCGCTTCGGTCAGGTCCTTCTTGGTTCAACGATCTACGAGCTCTTTCCTGCCTATCTCTTTCCAACCCTGAATGGAATCAGCATTCCGTGCTTTCCCTCTGCACGTTATTCTTCGGCCGCTAGAGATGTCGCGACAAATATCTTCGGAGGCGCGAACTCGAATGAAGGTCTAGGACTCCTCAACTTTTCCCTTGACTGGCAGTACATCACCTCCTCGGCATTGTCACTGCCACTCAAGCAACAGGCTAATAGCTGGATCGGCTTGGCTTTGATGTGGCTCATCATGCCGCTGCTCTACTACCGTAACGCCTTCGGTTCTCGCGCTGCGCAGCTTCCAATGCTCGGCACGTCTCTTTACGCAGAAGACGGGTCGAAGTACAATCTGACCGCGGTCTTCGGTCACTCGCTCACCATCAACAACACAGCGTTGGCAGAGCAGGGGCTGCCAGTGCTGACGTCGTCCACTCTCTGGGGATACATTTCAGCAAATCTTGCTGTCGCCGCGCTCATTTCGCACGTTCTTCTGTTCTACGGAGGGGACATGTGGAAAGCGCTCAAGCAAGCTAGAGCTGGAACTCAGCCCGATCCTCACTACCAAGCGATGAAGAAGTACAAGGAGGTGCCCATGTGGTGGTACGGTATCGCCTTTGTCCTTGCTTTCTTTGCTGGCCTTATCTCCGTCCTGCACGGCCAAACGATGCCGTGGTGGGCTTACCTGGTCTCGCTCCTCTTAGGGGCTGTCATCGCTCCACTGTCTTGCGTTTTGTACGGGCTCTTCGGAAATGGGCGAGTATCAAAGCCCCCTGCGCAAGGTACTTGGCCGAGAAATCAAAGCTGACTCACGAAGCGTCGACATTTCCTCGATCCTCTCGATTCGGATAGCATTGGGTAAGTCTGGTCTCTTTTCAAAGCTTGTATCCGCTTTAACTCACCTACCCTGCCCCACAGCACGAACACTCTGTCTAAGATGGTAGGCGGCGTCCTTGGTACGTGCTCGTAGATGATTGTTTGGCGGCAATACAGCTTTCCTCAAGATTTCCGATCGTGCTGACCGCGACCTTTCTCGCAGTACCGGGGAGGCCCCTCGCCGGGCTATGGTTCGCTAGTTTCAGTCACCAGGTCATCCTTCTCGCTGTCAACCTCGCATCGGGTCTCAAGTTTGGGCAATACACTAAGATACCTTGGCGCACCCTCTTCGCAAGCCAAGCATACGGAACACTACTTGGGCTTTTGGTGAACTACCTCATCGCTGTTCAGGTCGCCGTGAGCAAGAGGGAGGTGCTTCTCAACGACGAAGATTCCAACGTGTGGTCTGTCGCGATGTTTTCCAATCTCAATTCTCAAGCGGTTACATGGTCGATAGCAGACCGCGTATATTCGTACTCTCGAGGCGCTGGATACTGGCTAGTTCCTTTCGCGCTCTTGATAGGCTTCATCATCCCATTCATCCACTTCATCGTCCAGCGCCGATACAAATTTTTGGAGAAGTACGAAGTAAACGCTCCCATCATTTTGCAGTACATGGGCGGCTACAACTACTTCGGAGCCTTTAGTTACCTGACATCGACAGTAGCCATCGGGGCAGCTGCTCAACTCTGGCTTCGTCGTCGACATCCCAAGCTATTCAACAAGTACATGTACATCGTAGGCTCGGCCTTGGACGGCGGCTCGCAGATCACCCTGTTCATCTTAAGCTTTGCTGTTTACGGCGCTGCTGGGCCTGCCAGAGCTTTCCCAACTTGGTGGGGAAATCCAGATGGCAACGTCGATCATTGCAATCCGCCCGAATGAACGGCGAAGGAGAAGCGAGGTGGATGTGCATGCAAGATGCTCCGTTTCTGTTCAGCGCCTGCATGTGCCCCCTCTAAGCTTACGCTATTTCTCGGCCATCCCCAAAGACTATTCACGCACACCACTACTCACGACCGTACTTTGGGCGACCTCGATCCTGATTAGTAATGAAAGTTTGTCACGCTTCATCGCTTCGCCTATGTCCAAAAGTATGTGGTTGGCTCACCGCGCATCGTGTCGCGTTGCGTGCGCCTTTTGTGTCTTGCCGCGAACGCTTCCTGCCGTCTTCGCCCTGCCGCATATACACATAGTGATATGTCTGCATATGATTTCGCCTGTGTCACAATCGCTTCAGTCTGCAACTGGAAAACGTTCAAGATTGGTGAATGAGAGCCTCCTTCCTATGTAAATCGCGTATATGGTGCATGCATGTGCTTGTAGTCAGAATGTGCCGAAAGTGCGTGCAACGACTTGCGCGCAGAGCCTGCCAACCATCACGATCATCCTCGCCAGCCTGACCGAGGGCGAAATCGGGCAAGGCAATGCACGGCTCGCCATCACAATTTTGCGGTTTGCTGCTGCTCGGCCCATCTTTCGTTCTTGAGCTTCAGCAATCCTTGCCGCAGCTCTTCGGGCATGAGCTTCACCGGTCTCCTGGAGTCTCTTGCGACGAAAACGTGCGTTGCGCGGATCAGCACAGCTGCTTGTGCGTCTTGCGGTAGAGCAGAGGCTGTCGAAGGTAGGCTAAAGATGCCCACTTCGTATTGGCAGCTGCTATTGCCGAGGTGCAGCACGCGGACGCCTGCTCGCAGCTTGGAGGGGAATGATGCGGGGGCGTGGTACGTTGCGGAGCTTGCAGAGATGCAACAGGGTGAGTTGGATGAGAAATGATGCGGTGTAGGAGACAGACACACTCACGAGGAGACAATGAGGCCAATCAGACTCGCCGCAGAATCGGCTCGGACATTGTTCGCGGCATCACCCTCAAGGAATGGCATTATGCCGCAGCTCTGGACCAAGTAGGCGTTGATGGCGCTGTCGGAAACGTAGTAGTAGGCGCTGTTATTCATGTGGCCATACCTGTGATGGTGGGGCAGGGGCGCTTGCTGGCGTCAGCTGGTGGTGTAGTGAAGGCATGGCTGTACGCACTGGTCATTATCGCTCCACCTCGTCTGAACGTCGAGATGGAATGGATAGTCAAAAGATCGACGGTCTGATGACATTGCGGTGCTTGCAAACGAGCGACGGCGACTCGAGACTCGTTCTTCGTGCGGCGCCTGCTTCAGGGTGGTACGTCTGGCAAAAGAGGTACTCGGTGATGATTTGGCCTCGGGCACGGCCGCACTGCTTACGATCGAGCAGCGGCGTGCAGGAAAAGTGACGGCTCGAAATATCCCCCTGCGAGCATACATTCGTGCTTCTTGCCTGTCTCAGCAGGATTGGCCTTCTAGCACCATCTTGACGCTTCGACCTCACTATCGCTGAATGTTTAGCGCTCTTGCTTGCTGCGGCCACGATTCTCTCTCCACACTCGATCACGACTTTCGACTCAGACTTGTGATTGTCACGATGAAGGCAGGCAGGCGCGCGCTTGCTTTGGCGAGCCGTGCGGAAAGTGCGGTCATTCCAGCACTCTCACTCACGACTCTTGGCGACCACACACGGCGCTAAGCATCGAATATGCAGTCGCTTGCAGCTTTGTCCGAGATGCTCTGACTGCTCCACTGCCTTGCCCCGCACCAGATCCTTTCTTCATCCTCAGACGTGCAGCTGCCTTGCATACGATGCACAACCCAACTCCCTCGACGCTGCGCGACTGCGACTGCATGGCCTCTTTGCGCAATTGGCTCCGGACCGCGCTCGCAGATCGAGACTCTTTGAGCACCATGCAGCGCTGGATCAGTGTCTGGTGGCAGCGCGCGAATGCGAGTCGAGTCGAGTCGAGTCGAGTCG